AAATAAAGGTGATTTTATAGGCTTGAGATTTAAAAGTTTGGGTTCCTAAAAGCACATAATATATTTCAATTAGAAYCCCAAGGCTCTGGGAGCTAGTTATTGATACTTCAGAATGTAAAAAATATCGATGAAATCCGCTCTATAATTACTATCCTGTCAGAGCAGGCACCTGGGCCTTTTCCCGAATGGGCACGGCACCGGAAGATATGGCGTCAGAGATAATTCCGAGCACTCGAGTTGTTAAAGGTTAGGTTATCTTAGTTTAGGTGGGCTATATTGCAGTTCATCTTACTGATGCTCGCGCCATTAAGAAAAAATGAACATTGAATATTTTAAAATATGGAATCCCTACTAGAAGCAGGATCAGAGCTGGACTAAAGAAACTATTTTTGAGATACATATGTATATATGCATGCATAGCTCGAACAAAAGAGAGAAATATCGCTTGTGGGATGCATTTATCGAAGCACTATCCATTGCCTATTCTGAATAACTAAGCCTTGCGTTTTGATATATTGACTAGCCAATAGCGATCAAGGAAATGCCACGGATTTTTGTCCTTTCAAGTTTCTAATTTACACTAGGCCTATCGCCAGATTGGTGATAAATTTGGACCATGTATATTGCACCATAGTTTTTGATCCTTCGAACCCGCATCAAGATTATTGGTTTAGACCCATGTTTTAAACCTGGGTGGGTTTCTCGTGCACCGGCCACTTATGAACTTATTGTATTTGTTCGCGGTTGATCTGCTGTTGTGCCTAAATGTTTTAAATCAAATTGACAACTAATGTTCAGTATATTTCCACAGCTCGGCGTTAAATTTAAAGCTGGAATTTGGCACCTCCTCCGTTTGATGGTAGTCCATTTTAGCTTGGATCTAACCCTATTGTGCAATCTAGCCTTCAGTCTTAGACTCGTTGATATATGGCTTTAGCATTAGGGGACACCTAAAGTACACCAGATTCGATGCAAGAGAGCCATCACAACATATATAATATCTATCGGTGTTTGAAGAGCTACGCGAGCTTTTGCAACGCAATACGCTGCATAGCCGCGAGTAAGCTTGAATTTAAAGAACTACCTCAGCATAAATGTCAGCCACAGCTTTTTTAASAATAGAGCATGAATTTTCGCCTTTTCAGAGAGTCTTTCTTTACAAAATATAGGCAACAACAGACACCCAAGACATGGGACATGATGCATGCCGCTTTTATTCATCATCGATTCTTTTAATGCGTGTCATATTGCTGGATCCCCCAGTGATGAAGGAGACGAACCCCCTAACCTTATCGCGGTAACTATAACTGTGGACAGGCACACATTACAATAAAGATAAAATGACCAGACAACAGCGACACTTGACTTGACCACCGACCGCCAATATGTTTTGCATTGAAAATTTACCAAAAGTCATCACTCTTACCCTAAAAATAGCTTCAACTTGTGAAAATGCTGAGATACTTCAGCGGACAATGGACGATCAATTTAGGAATTGTGCTTAGTGAGGTTTTATTAAGCCCGGTATATCAGGGTTTCTTTCTGGCTGGCTGTTTTTACAAAAGCCCAATGTTGCCTGATGCTTTAAGAACCAATTCCATCGTTTCTGGAATAGAAAATTGATCCGTTCGAATAGCCAAGTTACAGTTATCTGGTCTCTCAAACGGGGCGTCTATTCTAAACATCTCTACGTATTAGAAAGACTTCATCATCATCACCTGATATTATCCCCTGTTCTTGTTTTTCATCCAGAGCCTTTGGATTTCGTTCTTTCGCTACATGTATTGGGATGTCCAGCAAGATCTATTCATGAGTAGAATAGTATACGTGTATCATTTCTATACTTTCTCGCTTAAAAATTTCTCTCGTCATTCTTCGATCCTCAGCGAACGGGGATATGCATGTTACGATTGATATGATATTTTCGCTGCAGAAAATTCTTGCAACCTTCCAAAATATAAGTGAAAATACGATGGAGGTACATGTGCTATCCTCCTCATATTCTCTCTTTGATCGTTTCTGGAGAATTTCAGGTCTTCATTTAGCGTTGCTTTTAAATCATCGATGTCAACCAGAACTGCATGCATGTTGTATTGCTCCTTAAGGCATAATTTCAAAGCAATTGCTGCCGTTGTCTTCCCAGCTCGGCGGATACCGCTGAACCAAATGCAATACATGATAGAAAGTATGTATTTTTAGTCCCATCATTCCCAATAGCGATTGAAAGTTCCATTAGCATCAAAGTATGTCAAAATGGAATATTGAGCATTTAAATACTTGATTTGGTTTATGAAGCGAAAAGGCTTCCCATCCTCGTATTTGTTGGCAATAAAGACATCAGTAGCTTTTCAAGCATAAATTTGCAAGCCTTAAATATATAGCACCGAAATCAGATAAGACTACTGAGAATCTCAAGACAAACAGTGGAGCGCACTTATTGGTCGCTCTTGCGGCAAAGTTGTAATTCCGGTGTTTTCGGTTAGGGTTTGGGGGAAGGGCAGCGGAATGCAACCAAAATTTGCTTCAAACCCAAAATTAATTGTAATATATCAATACGCAACCAGATTTAAAAGCCTTTATGTCTAGCTATTTGAACCAGTCAGTTGTTTTGGCTACTGCTGGATATGACCACACAATTCGAATTTGGGACGTGTTATACACAACTTGCCTTTTAACGATCCCATTTACTGATTCGGTATTCTCAAGACTTACGTTATCATTTAGCAAGTAAATGCTATAGCCATTAACCGGGATAAAAAGTGTCTGGCAGCCGCAGGTTGTTCTGTAATTAAATTGTTCGATATTACCGGCGAACATACAGATCCGCTCATTGGCTTTGAAGACCATGCAGGAAATATCAAATCTATCGGTTTTCAAAAGGACTCAAAATGGCTATTTACCGCAGCAGAGGATGGGCTTCTTAAAATTTGGGATACTAGAACATCAAAATGTCAACGTCATTTTGGAGCTAAAGGAGACGGCGCCATCAACCAAGCAATACTCCATCCCAATCAGGTACATCATTTCCGCTCATCTCAAGGCCGAGATTTTGTATGTAACGTCTACAGGCCATTTGAGAACATGGGACCTGTCCACTAATTCTTGTATAGAAAACATTGTATCATGATCGGTATGTAACTATTTATAGGCAGTGGTTCCACATTCCTTGGATTCGATATCTATTTCTTTAGATGCATCTAGCTTGATTGTCTCAAGCTACTTGGTACACTGTGGTTTTTAACCCATACAATAGGGCTCCGTTTACAAGTGGGAGCTAATCAATTATAATGGCTCAATCCAAAGCTCACCTCAATCATCCTTTAAGGCACAGGGGAAGTATCTCACTCGTGCACTGTTGAGTCCTGATGGAAAGTATTTTTTCCTCAATCATTTATGTGTTTAGGAGAATTTCTACATTCTCATCCGATACAAATTTGAGGCTATGGGATGCTTCATCCTTTCAGCTGACATGCACCCTCTCGGGACATCAAAAATGGGTCTGGGATGGTGTATTTTCAATTGACTCGGCATTCTTAATAAGCGTCTCCACAGATCAAACAGCCAGGCTGTGGGAGCTCTCCACTGGGTTGACGCTTAAAGAATATGCTGGCCATAAAAAGGGAATCATATCGGTTGCATTGAACGACATTCCTTGTATATAAACTTTAATAATTTAATTAATAAAATTAATTGCTGATTTATGTTTGACTTTGCAGCGATCGTCTCTTTTGGAGGGCTGCTTTATTGGACCAGCGGACCGCTTTGTAAAACATACCTGAATTATACAAGCGAATTCATCCGCAAGGTTCTTATCGAATCTACAATTTCAACATCCGAGAAGCATTACATTACTTCCGACAATAAGCAGGCATTTCAGTGGCTGATTGATGAGAAAAGGAAACTCATTTTTTTGGTATTTTGGTATCAACGACCTTATCACTTTAGATTTCGTATACTGGTAAATCCAATGATACCAGTAAAAGTACCTATGTTAATGCCCTGTCTACAATTTCAAATCTGGAGCTTATCGATTCTTTTGGAATCGGTAGTAAAGGCTATCCAGCCATTTCAGATTATGTACAGAAATATTTAAATGAATCCATTTATAATATATTGAAAGTATCGAGTGTATCCTGTGCCGGGGATCAAATCGAGTGCATAGAAACTCCAATTTGCTTACAAGATGCAGAACCCAAACCCTCCTCAGACCCTGCCAATCGACAGGCGAAACAACCGCTACGAAGGTCAAAGAAAATTAATCGAAAATGGGACGATCCTTATTATAATGGAGAAGATAACGATCTTTCCGAGCTGAATTTTGGCTCTGAGGATCAGACGGACCAAAATATTCAAACCTCCTCGATGATTTCATTGACCGGTATCGGGGAGGAAGTTCCAGAACTTAGGAAGGCCTCATCAAAAGCTTTATCCCCAAATTCTGGAATACTGTCTTCCTTGTGGGGAAAGATAAATGAAATCAGCGGAATTTCAAAATGCCTTTCCCACGAAAACCTCGCCTCCCCTCTTTTAACCCTAAAGGAATCGCTAATTGCAAAAAATGTTGCCGAGTCTGTGGCTTCTGAGGTTTGCTCTGCCGTAGAGAGGAAATTAGTAGGAAAAGAGCTTTCTGCATTTTCGGCTTCAGGTACTTGGCTAACTGCTTGATATCTTTAGGATCCCTAAATACAATCATAAGGGATGCCACCTCCCTAATTATCCAGCAAATACTTACACCATCAGACGACAGTAGATTTTCCAACGACATTTTCCTCGGAATGGCTGAGGCAAAAGAGCAAGGACGTCCTTTTGTAGCTGCCCTTGTTGGGGTAAACGGGGTTGGAAAATCTACTTCGCTTTCGAAGCTTGTATACTGGACTCTTCAAAGGGGATTTCGAGTATTGGTTGTCGCTGGTGATACTTTCCGAAGCGGGGCTGTGGAGCAGCTTTCCGTTCACGTTAAGAATCTCTCCAAAGTGGGTTCTGTCACTCTGTTTGAGCGTGGATACGGAAAGGATGCTGCCTCGTTGGCAAAAGAAGCAATACAACATGCCAAAGCAAATGCAATTGATGTCGTCTTTATCGATACAGCTGGTCGCATGCAAGACAATACGCCGCTTATGAAGTCTTTGGCAAAAGTGAAGTCGCTTGTTTTAATTTTGTAGCTAATCTCAATCGCCAATCCGGATAGAATTATTTTCGTCGGAGAGGCCCTTGTGGGAAATGAAGCAGTCGATCAGCTGCTCAAGTTCAATGCATCTTTGATTAAAGATGCACCGCTATCCTCGCCCACAAGTAGACCGAGGATAATCGACGGCATCGTTCTGACAAAATTTGACACCATTGATGATAAGGTAGGCCGATGGTTTGTGATAGCTCTTCCCCCATTAGGTTGGTGCCGCAGTATCGATGGCACACATATCGGGAGCACCGATTCTATTTGTCGGAGTTGGCCAGACCTATTTAGATCTTCGCAGATTGAATGTGACCTCTGTGGTGGATTCTCTTCTCGGAGTGTAGTACAAAGTAAATTCTCTTCCGATAGCGTAGTACAAAATAAATTCTCTTCCGATAGTGTAGTGGAAAGTATGGTAAATTCTGATTCAACAAATGAGACTATTTCGTGCAACGATAGTATGGATGGGGGTTTTCAATGCCATAAGGAAGCTCAATTTCCAGTTTATTGCTTGCTTATTTTAGCATATAAATACCTGTTAGAAAATAATGTCATCATCATCGCCAACGCTGAGGATATTTCCGGTGCAAAAAATTGCTTGTTCTACTTCCACGGAATTTTTTGCTGTTGTTTCTGCAGTCAGAAGCATTGCGTCCTTTTTTTCTTCCCTTGGACCTTTTTGAGACGAAAAAACTCTTCTCGATCTTGTTCGTCAAGCTCAGATATAATGTAATTGATGGTGTTTTCAAGCTTTGGAATCACCACATGTTCGATTGCATTGACCCGTCTATTGGTTGCTCTGATAACCTCATCAAGAATAAAAAAAGCTGCCTGGAAACCGAAAAGAGTGTATGAAGTACCTGTAAGGAGGCAAGTGCAACCAAATCGCCGATGCATGAAGTCCAGTTTTCTCTGGTTGACTGTACTTGAAGACCGCCCCTGGACAATCCGGTGTAGTCCATTGAAGACTGGGCCGGACCACTCAGTCTGTCTGATGAATGTTCATGGTTGAGATTAAGGAAGGGGATGACTACTCCGGAGACGTTGTCGCTTCTGGAGGTAGTTTGAAGAGTGGCAGTTGTCACAGACTCTTTGACAGAGAAGCTAACATGTAAAAACGGACGTTACCTGATATCTCCGGCTGAATAGTTACATTGAGCCAGAGAAAATAGGGCAGACTGGATAGAAGTGCCCATTTTCAATTTTGCCTTGAAATAAAAACGAAATTCACAAAGGGGAAATCACACATTACGAAAAGACAAAGTCAATGGTGAGAATTGAGAGGCGATAATATTCAATCAATTACCTCTTTAATTTGCTCGAGAATGACTCTGAATTTCTGAGTCAAAGCATCACTTTTTCTCTTTAATAACATATGGCCCCTTTGAGCTGCCTTCAGCTTATTTTTCATGTTGGTCAAGGCCATACGAGTAGGGAATATAGCAAGGCGTTGCTTACCACCGCCCGACGAAGACATTAGTAAAATTAAAATCAGCAATTTAATACAAATCTAAATTAGCAGCCTTCAATTAATTAATAAATGGACTGAAATGTGGAGCTGGATTTGGACCATGTCAGAAGCACATCGTTCAGGTTAGCAAAAGACACCACCATTGCAAAGAGCGTCCAAATATGAGAACAAATACTTCAAGTTTAAAATGCAATGCGTCCTGTTTTTTAAATTTTATTTAACAAATAAAGATTGCTCCTCAATCATCTTGATTGCAGCGCCCAATGCCCAGCAAACTTCAATTCCATTGATTTTTTTTACAAAATTGATTTTAAAGTCGGATCGAAGTATTTTAAAGCCATCAGTTAGCAGCGAGTAGATGTACACGTTGTCCAGGCAAAAGTTTGGCATTTTTCTTAGTGCGTCTCTTAGCGGCAAATATGGCGGCCGTGGAAGAACAAAAGTCGATTGATCGTCCTTTATTTCGCCAACAATGTTATCACAATGAAGAAAGACATGTTTCCAAATTTCCTCAATACTGAGCTCAAAATTTTCTCCCGCATTTTCTGTCTGATGCAGGAATGGATGGAGCTTTTCTTGAAAGTTTGAAAAGGCAAACAAGTTCAAGTTTTTAAAGGGAATTTGCGAAGGTGATGGAATTCCAGCAAAGAAACACGTTGGATGAAGGCAGTCAATGTCAAGATTCAAATATCTCCGAACCTGTCGAAGACACCCAACCACATCAATGCGATGCTTCAGCAAAACTGGGCCATCTTCGCTATTGTCTTCGTCAATTATCGATTTAGAAGTACACGGCCTGAAAGACTCGACTTCAGACTTGAGTATTCTTTTTCTAGCCTCGTTTGTGCCATATCGAAGGAAGCTATTCTGGAATAGATGATATGCCTTTCCGCCAAAATGAACCACTGAAAGCACCATTTGGGACGAAGATGACAGGGAATGAGCCTCCTCTGGACTAATTTCAAATACCACTTGAACAGAAGCACCGCCCAAATCCATCGATGCGGCTGTTTTGACCTCCGGGTGGGAAGATTTGTCAGCCAAGCCGCCAATCTTTCCGAGTAAGAAGTTCAAAGTGATCCATGCCCATATGCCTATTGCATAATTTGATTTCATGCTTTACCTTCATCTCGGCCTTGTATAATTGAAACGGCATGTTCCAGACTATTCTTTTCAGGGACGAATGGCCATTTTGCCAATATGGAGCGAACGGTGGCTAGAATTTTCTCTGCAGACTCTTGCGATAAAAGTCGAAGCCCAGCGGTAGCCTTTACCGACACAGGAACGGATAGATATAATTCGGATGGAATGCTTTCTTTTGCCACTCGCAGTAGGCGATCAAAGATCGCATCCTCCAGTTCATGTTCCCTTCCAGCAAAGGCCGAAAGTGGCTTTGCGATTTCTACGAACACTTCATCCAATAGAGAATGTACCGCATTGTTAACATACTTGAGCGAGTAGACGTGAATCCTGGTCCCAAATGATCCAGCATCGATGACAATCGCATATTTGACCTCCTCTTGATAGAAACTTTTGTTTGAGTAGGAGTACAGATGATATGCATTGAGGGCGTCAACATCCTTCTCATCGTAAACCTTCACAATTCTATAAAGTAGAAAACAAAAGGAGAAAAATATGAAAAACAGCGCATAATGGGTCTTAAAGGAACCAGGAGATCCATATTGAGGAAAATTAGCCATCAGTCCAACAGGTGCTTTGGAAACTTAATTTTATGCTTGGCGCTTCAAGGGTTTGGCAGCTTTTGTGTCAAATTGCAAGCCACATCTGATGCACTTAAATATGGCATTCTGTTTTCGCCACTGACGAACTAAGAGATCAGTTGGTGATGCTACATCGATGGGACGAATGCGATTACAGATGCGATTGGCAAATTTATTTGTTAAAAGTTGAAAGCAGGCAGCTTGTTGCTGCAATCGCATATCGACAAAAGGGGCGCGCCGGAATTAATCCAACAAATTTTTAATTGAATCTGGTCGCAAAGGCCTCAGACTGCTTGCCGACTCGACAGAGTCTAAATTTACAACAGAGTCTACATCGATGATCTTAAACTCAGATTGGGAGTCTCTGTTCGCATGCCCAGCGAACACGGCAGATCTCGCAAAGAATGCCGAAAATTTCAAATCCTGTTCAGGCAACATGGATGCGATCGATCCTATCAATTTGCATTGCGCCGCTTTGTGCTCTGTTGGCAAGTCATTGCACATTTTGTCTAGCGCTTGCTTGCTGTCCAAAAAGGTCTCCTAAAGCTTATGCGGAATTGTCAACATACTTTTGCCAATTCGGGGTGCAAAGAAAGGACTCTCCAGTAAATGAACGCCCTGTCTCTAATGGAGGGAACGTCAACGTTGTTCAAAACGATTTCAAACAAATCTTTCAAGTATCCTGAAGATGTTTTCTCATCTCCCAACAATAGAGATGCCTTTACAAAGGCATCCAAGATATAGCCTTGGGTCTAACACCTTGGTCAATGATCCCATACGCGTACCTGATGCGTTTCCTCAAGAAACTGGCAAAGGAAAAGCGTGTAGTAATGTTCGATATTAACGACCAAATAGCAAAATTCACCAAAAAACCAGGCAAGTGCATTTTTGGCCTCTGGGTCCAGGACCGTATTGAGATAGGAAAATAAAAATTCAAGGTCAAGTAAATACAGCATCTCGGTGTGGTATTTCTCATATATATTCTACCGGAAAGATTTCCGTAATTCTACCTTTAAAGACACAATGCTTTGCTCAACAATTGATGGGGAAGGGGATTGTGTTGGTTTTAAAAGGGATATCAAAAACGAGATGCACCTTGGAGCGACCTTTTCCGATTTGCAACCAATGCTGCCAATTGCCTGGATTGCTTTCAGGGAAAAGAGCTGGTCAATATCCTTTGAGTATCTATTAAAAGTTTAGCCAAAAAAATACTCTTCCAATTCATCAAGTATGGATGAAAAGTTATCTTCTGCGGAACAAGCGATCAGGGCTGAAAGCTTTTCAAATTTGACATAAAGCGGGTCGTTAAACATGCAGAAAAAGATGCGAAAATCAATGGCAAGCTCTCCTTTTGCAAAAATGGAGTTCAAAATCACAGACAAGTTTGTGAAAAGCAAATATTGGATTTCGGGATACGAGTGGTTGAGAAGCGATTTTAAAATTGGCATCAACTTCTTTCTGGTCGTGTCGCGCGTATTTTCATACAATGCCTCATCCTTAATAAATGACTGCTGGACCAGTAGGATTTTAATCGTTGAAATGACAACGGAGGGATTTGAATGTTGCAGTCTTGGGTATACTTTATCAATAATCGAGGCAGCTTCAACGTCTGAAGATGGGATAAATGTTGTAAGCGCGTCTAGGATCCCGATTTGGCCCCATTCGGTACACTCATTCAGAGATGAAAGAAGCTTGGAGAGCGCCGAAAAATTTAGATCAATCCCCCCGGTTTCGTGGCTGGCTTCAGAGATTTCAGAAAGCGCAGAAATTGCATTTGCATTCACCTAGCTGGATAGCAAAGCACAAGTACATTGGGGTTGGGGTCGAAGATCAAATCCAATAGTATCTCCTTAAAGGAATGGTCCTCAATCAATTGGGGTGCGACCGCATTAATCTTAGCAATGCCAAGTGCGGCCGTTTTCCGAACATATGCCGATTTGTCCTGAAACGAAATAATGGGCACTAGGCTTACCAATACGGACTTTTTAAGTGGAATGCACAGATAATCGGTTACAGTATCGACGTTTAAACACCCCATTGTTCTGATGGCAAGCGCCCTTATTAATGGATTTGGATGCTCTATATCCTAAAGAACATCAAACGCCAAAACGAACCTTGCAAAAGGAATTGATGGAAAGAATAACCAAATCCGGGTGTGAATTTGCATAATTCATTAAATATAAATAGACGAGCTTCCTTATCTCAAGATCTTCGGTTTGGATGCATTTTATGACATCGGGGAATAAAAACGAAACGTCCTTTCCAAGGGTGACGTTTGCAATGATCCTGCGTAGCGCCTCGCGTTTGTCAAATACACTGTCGGAATTTAATTCTTGTTTGAGCTCTAAATTTTCACCTAAAAGTAACGGGACCATGATGAGAACCTTTCTTCGATGCAACAAAGTAGTTGGGCGAAGATGAAGTTGCCGCAGCCAGGGCAGCCTGGGCGAATTGCTTCAATTTATCGTTCATAAAATTTATAAAACCAAGGCAATTAATTTGGCCCTTAATGAAGAATGTAACCCATAATTGCAAATATTTAATTGAAAAAATAAAAGTCCAAGCGATCGGTGTCGATATTGCAAGCTCTTCTTACCTTATGATTTGAATGCTGAAAATCGTATAAATATGGAGCTTAAAGTGATAGCATCATTGGTTAAGGGATTATTCAGTTCAATGAGAATTCTTTATTGTAGATCGCTAATATAATGTGATGCCTTTAATTTATTAATCGCAATGTTGCTGCGCAGCGCCATGGCAGGGCACCTTTCGGTCTTCGAAAGCAAGAGCGCAGCTCCAAATTTGTTTCCCTTGTAGGGGAATACAACTTTCAGGCTCTTTTGACGTACATTTTAAATTTCAGCCCAAAATGTAGACTTTCTCAGCATGTTATTAGAACGCCGTGGTCTTTGATGATCGCATATCGACGTATGAGGGTGTAGAAAATAGACAGCGAATTGAAAAGGGGAAATACACACCTCCCAAGCTGGTTATTGGCTCGAAAAGTTTGGTAAAATTTAAGTTGTTGGCACGGTTGGCATTAATGTTCTCGTCCACTAAAGCAGGGCGATCACCATAGCATATACCAAAAGGGTTTAGCTAGCCCAGAGGCGAGCAATGGCATCATGTGTCGTACAAGATTTACCAAAGTCCTGTTTTACCCGATTAATGGCAGGCATATGAGCTTCTTGTAGAGCCCCTGATATGTGATGTAGATTATGGACGATCATTCAAGCTTCATATGGTGCACAAAAATATTTTCAAAGAAGCCCATGGATGCGGCAAAGAGAATTCCAGAGGCCACCGTCATGGCACAAACACCATGAAAGAACGAGCACAGGGACATGTGCAACTTTCAAAATACGGCGGCATAAAAATGCTTTGTACGCACACTTTGAACGGAAAGCGTTAAATTTAAAACCAGCCATTTTAACTGAAATTATTGCGCACATTTACACATATAAATGAGCCCCATTGTGAGCATTGGTATCCTTTTGCTCTCGCTGAGAACGATGGTGTTTGCATGCAAACGGATCGAAAAAAGATCCCAACATCATGAGCTGATAAAGATTGTTCTCTTTGTTCTTTACACGCTTGCATGCTGCTACTTTTACGGGTATGTTCCGTTTTGTTGGCACTGGCTTTCCGGTGTAAACGACATTTTTTATTGTTTCGCCATGCTGTTCCTTATCTATTTTCAAGAATTCATCAGTTTAATCCCAAACCTCATGGAGCAAAGTAAATTTAAAGCCTCTTCGCAGCTGAGCTTGGACGAATTCTTTGCCATCGTCAAATCGGTCCTGGTTTCTCCTATTTGCGAGGAAATAATTTTTCGAGGCATTTTATCGTGCTTGGTTTGTGGTTTTGTAAATAATCAGCACATTGTGCACCTCCTGATTGGCCTGCTGTTTTCATTTTCACATTGGGACAGCTGCACGCCTACGCCGGAGCTTTTGCTTAAATTTGGTTACACATTTATTTTCAGTGTGGTGTCTAGTGTTGTTTATCACGCCTCCAGTAAATAATTGCTCTCATCTTGTTAGGTGGAAATCTTTTTTGCTGCATTTTTATCCATGCTTTTTGCAATTTATGGGGGCTTCCCCTTATGTTGACACAACCATTGGAGTGGCTTATGACCGCTTGAGGTGGATGCATTTTATTTTTGCTTTCCATCTTCTGAAGGGTTGCTATTTAAGACGATGTGCCTAATCTGTGCCATCCTTCGCAAATGTGCGTCATCTCTGGCCAACAGGGATCCCGAAGCCATGCTGGATGTAATGGAGGCCGAGAGCGGATCCATGGCCTCTGAATTCCCGGAAAAAACGGAAAGAGTAGATGGCAGATGAATATCGTGCAAGTTTTCTGCTACAAACTGGATGTCTCTTGGTTCAAGCGCTCGGGATTCTTTTAGCGACGCCAATTGGCACGCCTCTTCTATGATCGAGACTACAAACTCATATCCCAATTCTGCCAAAGTTGATAGTACCGAAGAGTCGATTTTTTCTGTAGGGGCGAAAAGCTGCAAATATTTGTGAAGTTTGTGTATTGGAATTAACTCATTCGACAACGACACACTGCTGTGGGGCAACGGCATCCTTTCATCCATTTTCAAAAAATCGGCATCCTTTTCCCTTAAACTTTACATCCAATTTAAACTCGAATTTTATTCGAAGCAAATACATTCCATCGATGAGGCAAGCATCAGAGGTCATTTTTAGTAGCCTTTTTGATCAAGCGCCGGGGTAGTAGTCCATTTTATAAACTTTCAATAACAACAGTCTGATCATTCAATCTCTAGATTGCTAAAATAAATACCGAATCAAATAAATCGCCAATTAATTAATTAATTTGTGTAAAATCACGGGTTTTTAATATTTTTCCCGTTTGTTATTTGATGAGAAAGCTCAAGCATCATGAACAAAAGCTTTTGAAAAAAGTCGACCTGCTTCATTGGAAAACCAAAGACAATTCCAACGAAAATCAGGTCCTTCGAAGATATCACATCACCGACAGAGATTCCTACAATCACCTTAACAAGCTTCGCGGATTGATAACCAAGCTGGCAAATAAGCTTTCATCCGAATTGGCTCCTGAAGACCCGGGTCGTCAGAAAATGTCTAAACTGCTATTAAACAAGCTCTATCAGCTGGGGCTAATCCCGATTGTTCGAGATCTTGGCCAGTGCGAAAAACTCACCGTATCCGCATTTTATCGTCGAAGACTCCCTGCTGTAATGATGAGGCTGAAAATGGCGGAAAATCTGCAAGAAGCCACAACGTTTATCGAGCAAGGACGTAAGTGCAATTTGGTGATTTATCTTAGATATCCGGGTCGGGGTTAACACAATTAGGGACCCTTCTTTTTTTGTCTCCAAACACATGGAGGAGCTGATCACTTGGGTCGACGCATCCAAAATTAAACGAAAAATCCTGGAATATCACAACAAGGCTGATGACTATGATCTTCTGGCCAATCAGTAGAGCGACATATTTGGCTTGGTTTCGCTTGATTTGGGTGTCCGTTTAATAAGCAGGGTTTGTGGCGCATTAATAAATTTACAATTATAAGCCAATCGGTTTCCAAAAAAATTTTAGTTTCGTTGATAGGCCAATTAATGGATTCCATTTACGGAAATTTTTCTATAGAATTTGTTTCAAATTTATTTGTATAGAAATTTTTTATTCTAACCGCTGTAGAACGAAATGGTGAACTTTAATCTATCTGATATTTCATCAAGACTATCGGTGCGTTTTGGACAGGCAAAACAGGTATTTCAGGCATGCATTTACTTATCTCGTAGTATGCAGAGGAGAAATTCGGCTCTGCTTCGGAGCATACGCATTTGCCCGAAGACTTTAAGGAGATGGAGCAGGTGCGTTTTATATTTTCACTAATTCAATAGCGTTGTGACTTTCTAAAAGCAACTTATGAGCAACTAATGAAGACACACAAGGCATTGGCTCAGGCAGATGACTATACTACGCCTGTGGGTGACCAGGTCAAGGGGGTGTTTGGAAAGCTTCAGGAGAAACTTGCATCTGCGAAAATAGAAGCAAGCGCCCAAACAGCTTCATCATCATCTTCTTCATTTGGTTCGCCTCCTCCAAGTTCTGCAATGAACGCTCAGTATCCGACAAACCAACATGCTGCAGCCAAAATTTCTCTCTCAGCATCTCAATCGATGGAAAATGCCGAGTTGGGAAAAACCCTTGCCTGGTATGGCTCTCTTATGGAAGACCTTGGGGATGCCCGTCTGTTATTGTCACAACGTATTCAAGTGAAGGCTCGTCGTCCATTGCGAAATGTTCTTGATGTCCTCTTTGAGCAAGCATCTTCTGCCAGAAAGGAAGTTTTTCTGGCTAGACTTTCGCTTGATTCCTTAAAAAGATCTACCGAGGTAAAACCGGAAGATCTTGAAAAAGTTGAGGAAGAATATGAGGCATCCCTATCCAAGGCAAAAGCCTCCATGCAAGCTGTTCTTGAAAGTCCAATTCTGATCTCGGCACTGAAAGACATGATTGAAGCACTGAAGCAATACCATCGCCAGTGCTTGGAGGTACTTGATGGTGCGTCCCCTCGCTCCAAGTAAAATAAAGTGAATTTGAATTGTTGGCTTATCTAATTGGGCCGTTACTTTAAGGATTCGGGCCGTTACTTTATGGCGAATTGTTACAATGGTCAAATAAATATACACTGCATGGTTTCTCCCAACTCTCATGGAAACATAGTTTCTTGAGAACGATACAGAATATGCAGAGAAGGAAATCTCAAGCCAATGGCGAAATAACCTGTTACTTTACCACATCTTGAAGGGAACTATACCCAATGAATGGTATTGCTAGCATCAGTCGGGTCCGGTTAACGGTTCGATTGATGCTAGCAATGTATTACTTGAGCCTCCCAGTACATTTTAATGGATAAAATCTACTCTGCAAGAAATTAAAATTTAATTATTTGGCAAATAAAAATAATTATGGGATGCCTTTACACAATATAAATGCACGCTAATTTTAAAATTATTTATTCAATTGCCATGATGAGATGAAATAGAGTCAAGCCATGAACACCTGATTATATTCATCTGCTGAGCGAGCGAATTATTATTAAAAAGACAATAGGAAATAAAATTTACTTTGGTTTAAAAAAGCTCATTAACGAGCCTTGTTTGGGGGTCGGTTTTTTTTGGGAACTTGAACCCGACGATTTTATTCGTTCCACGCCGATGAGGGCTGGTGGAATACTCTCAGATTCTTCATCGGTAACCTCTTCGGTGATTATTTCGGTGACTAAAGTTAAAAGATGAAAGTACCGAGATATCCATTTTGGAAGACTTGCACTGGGCGGCTAACGAGTTTTTTCCTTTTTTGAGGCACAATTGGTGGAGGTATTGCATCACAAATCTCAATCTTCTCTTCATCTGAAGATGAAAAGAATATTTCTAGTGGATCGTCGTCGTGCACTGCAGGAGATGAGGATATGGTTTCATGCATGCACGAGCTTCTATTGATAGCTGGATCAACCGTAGAGGGTATCTGCTTAGGCTGGAGGGGAAGAACTATGTTTTGCAAACCGGTTTTATGTAGCGGCGGTAAAGATGCCCGTTTCTTTTCAAACGCAACCATTCCCCTCCTCAGGTCTTCCTATGGAGCGGTTATACAAAATATGGCCATACCATTGATTTGGGTGGATCTTTAGGATACAACGCAATCAAGGAACTTTTCGCATTTAAAACAAATTCAACCGAAAAAGATGGTACCTCTATGGTCGATGCCGATGTAGGCAAACAGGTAGGTGAAACCATATATGAAGATTGCGGCGTGCAAAGCGGAGAGGTGACAATAGCTCCATTGCTGATGATAGATCGAATTTCCTGGCATATTGAGGAGGTCGAAGATGAATTCAAATCGTAATAATCGAGCATGATCCTGTAATTGTAAGGCAACATATCAGCGGTACTGTCTACACTGTGCCCTGGAAATTGAGGGAAATGACGCTCGAAGTGCATTGATGGTGACCTAGGGCGATTTAGGTCAAACTTTCACATACGACATGGCACTCTTTATGGATCCACTGGTCAAGTGTGGCATAAGAAAGCTCCCTTAGGTCTCCGCCATTCATCGGAATATAAAATCCAATTGCTTTCCAATAAATTTATTATTATGCACCATAAATTCCATTGGTTGCTTGGATGATGCCATGATTTCGGTTGTCATTTAAAATCGTTTAGCAGACACTTCCCGCTTCAATGGCAAAAACCACGATGGCGTATGTGTTGGCCATAATTGAATGGATGGACCATTACAGGGCCATTTTTGAAAACTTTTCTTTGCATCAGGGAAAGTTTAATTTTGAAAGGAAACTCAAATCGATGGAGAGGATAAAATGTTCGCTTGTCGATTGGATCCAAATCCATCTTCCAGATTCTTTACTTGAGCGGGCCCGAGAATTTCATAAAGAAGTTGGTAAATATGCGCCTGGATTGACGGGCTCACCACAGGCCTTCATTTCAAAATGGTTCCAAAGCCACAATGTTGATTATGGCTTGATTCTATTTTCACTACTGATCGGGTTATTGGTTTTCTCCCTGGCAGCTCGGATCATCAAGATGTTTGGTTCGGTCATTCGATTCCTTCTGAAGGTTGTTTGCGTGCTGCTGATTTCCTTTCTTGTACATTATAGTCTTTCCGAGGGCGGGTTCCTTGTGTCCAAGTAAATTTGTAAATATACCAAGTTTTTGAATGCCACACACGACCACATTTGTTAGGGAAGCCGCCATCTCGGTTACATTCTGAATTTATTTAAAAAAAAATTGAAGGGTGTAAAGAAAGGTTTCGGAATCCCAATGGGAAAGAAATAGATCGGGGGAGAGATTGATTTCTCTGGCCGGAATCTTAAACGATATCGTGTCATATGGAAGCGCTGCAATCACCAAGTATTGGACATCTTTGTCTGGAACCTCGATCCGTTGTTCATATGAAGACATAAACCTATAGATAGGCTTTTGTAGAACAGGTGAGGAGTGATCCTGGAGAATATGAGGGAAATGGATTTGGATTAAAAGCCCAAGAGTATTTTCAACGGAATTTTTCATTTTAATCAATCTGTACCCGGGACGTCCGATTCTTGGAATTGATGCTGCTGGCTTTCTGGAAAAAGAAACAGGGACATTTGTTCCGGTAGATGTTCCAGCAGCCAAAGCTGCTTCCTTGTAGGCTCGTCTTGCAAGGTTGGCCTGGTGTTTTTTCCCTTGGGTATGGCAGAGATAAGATCCTTCGTTATTATGGATGGTAAGGCAAAGCTTACATTCATAGGAGCCAAGATGATTCCTCATAAAATAGGGATCCTTTTCTAGATCTATTGTCTCCAAGGCAAGTCTTCTTAACCGTTCACGTCTGTCAACATTGGTCTCGGAAATGCTGGCTATGCCAGCAGAACCGGTTGCTCCTTCTCTGTGTTGGAAATCTATTTTTTTAAATTATAATTTGGCAATGACACAGTTTAGGTTGTGTTGCGGCGTTATTTCGGCTTTCAAATTTATTCGGCTTTCAAATTTGGGGTGAAAATTAATTATATTCCATAGTTCTCCTCATTTCCTGGTCAAGATGGTCCCTCTTCGGAAAATCTATCATACAAGATAGTTGCTATTGAAATGAGATTCCATTTGCTTAGCAATAGCCGATACTTTGGGCGAATAAATAGTTTGTACTTGGGTGTGTTTTGGTTGTTCAGCGAATTTAATTAGTCATCGGGAATTAGCCACATATAATTGGTGAGGGATCCATTTTTTATTTTAATGGGCTTACTTACCAGAAAACCGCTTTCTGAATCATTCAGACAAAGCTCGAATAACAACAAAAAAAACCTTTCATGGTTCCATTTGCTTGCATATGGAATCTCCGCTACCATTGGAAGTGGTATCTATGTCACCATTGGATTGACAGCAAGGGATGTAACTGGCCCTGCTGTGCTGCTTTCCATCTTTCTTGCTGGAGCACTATCTTGTCTGACAGCATTGTGTTACCTGGAGCTATCGAATATCGTTCCCGCATCTGGATCTTCCTATAGCTGGGGGGTTACTTTCCTCGGCGAGGGCATAGGCTGGCTTCTTGGGTGGATCTCTACCCTGGAGTATGCGTTTGCTGGCTCGTGCACGGCAGTAGCGATTTCTCAGTATATCTCTTCTTTGTCGCCCTATTTGGATCCATTACCTTTGCTTCGTGGCTCTGATAATCCAGACAACTACATACTGGTATTCAATTTTGTCGCCCTTTTAATTATTGTTTTAATTAGCCCCATTGTGTTGTGTGGAATTTCCTTTGGCACAAAAACCAACAATGTGATGGCTACCATCAACATCACTGTCCTTTCTTGCATCGTGGCAATTGGATGTTTTTATGTTGTCCCCGCCAATTGGTTTCCGTTTTTCTTGACAGATCCCTCTGGCAAGCAAGTGACCTCTGCAAGCGAGCAAGTCATTTCTGGAGCCTTGATAATGATCTATTCTTTCCTTGGGTTTGACACCATTTGTGTGTTTGTGGCCGATGCAATTTCTCCTCGACATGTGCAAATTGCTGTTCTAGGCACCCTTGCTTTGGCCACCACCCTCTATATGCTGGTTGCTCTAATCATTACCGGGATGGTTCCGATTTCTATGATCGATGTCAATACTCCTCTTTCTTCTGCATTTTTGGATTCTGGCCTTTATGGTGCTCATATAGTTATTAAGGTTTGTGCCTTGTGTATGCTATTGGCCACGCTCTTGGCTTGCCTACTGGGCCAGCCCAAAATCTTTCAAGTAATTTCTCTTGATGGACTGCTTCCAAAAATATTTTCTGCCGGATCGGAAGGGACAGGATCTGTCCCTGTCCTGAACTCTCTGATTTGCTGCACCTTGTCTGCATTGTTGGCAACGTTTTTCAATGTTTATTCCCTGGTAGAAATTATTTCCACCGGAGCTCTGTTGGTATTTACGACGAACGCCTCCTCCGTTATTATAGCAAAATCGGACAATTCTAGAAAATATTTCTTGGTTCCTTGTTTTGTGTGTGGAAATTTACTGACATGGCTATTGTATCAGTCCTCTTACTCCGCAATTTTGACTGCCATAGTTGGAGTCGTTTTCACTGGAATGCCCCTTGCTGGACTAATCTGGATCTTCTATGCACAAAAAGGTGGGCCGAAAAACCCAACAAATCTTGGATACGGATCTGAAAACTCGTCGACATTTTGTCCATGGATGCCTCTTATTCCCTGTCTAAGCATTGTGGGGAACACATTTATTATGTCAACAGTAGAAATAATTACATGGATCCAGCTGCTATCTTGGATATTTATCGGTGTTCTTATATACATATTTTATGGATATAAGCATTCGCTGATCGGAAAACCAGTCCCTACGATGACCAACAAAGCGGCAGAGATACTATCATAGGGGCGCATCATCATTACTAAATAAAGGCAAAATTGAAGCTATAAAAATAGTTGCTTTTGGGTTAGGGTTAGAAGCAGTCCTTAAGTGTTCTATTGTCTTTTTTTCTTGGTTTCGGGGCGCTTTTGTTTTCCCTGATGTAGAATCGGCGAAGAAGTGTTATGGCTTCCTTTGCTGAGACCCCGTGTCTGATGGTAATTGGGGGGTTGTCCGAATAACTCGATGGTAGCTTCATGGCAGAACCACACCCTCCAAATCGGTCATTATGGCATCCAAATATGATTTCTTTAATCCCTAAGCATAAAGAGTTAGGTCGGCAAAATTTACCCAAATCGGTCAATGCAGCAATGCACATAATACAAGGCTCAACGGTCACATATAGAGAGCATTGGTGCCACGGTATGGTGTCACAGAAGCTTTTTGTAATTTGATCAATAGCCTCAATTTCTGCATGGCGAGTGGCGTTACATGATGCCATGGTGTTGTTTCTGCCTGCTCCAATGATAAGAAGGGTGTTTTTGCATACTGCCTCCAAGGTCCTTCCGTTGGACGGTAATAAGGAAGGAAATTTGGCTACAGGACATACTATAACACACCCAATAGGGACCTCGAGATTTTCATATGCTTGTTCGGCCAATGCAAAGGCATGGGACATAATTTCTACGTCGTCATCATTGACATCCATTTTAAAAAATTTTAATGAAATTTAAAAATCTCATTCGACATGGTTGGCCGTTCAGGAAATTTTGTACCGCTTCGGCCTCAATATTGGCATCGATGGAATTTCCCATTGAAAGAATCCGAAATTTTTGCATTATCGCGCATGTTGACCATGGAAAATCTACGCTTGCCGACAGACTATTAGAGATTTGTAACGGAGGTTTTGGCTCTATTTTACTTTGTAGAGACAAACCAATATGGCCTCTCAACTCCCTCTTTGGATACACTGCTAGTTGAAAAGCAACGTGGGATTACCGTTAAAGCCCAGGTTTTTTCACCCCTAACCCTTAGACTGCTTCATTTATATATCGTTCGTCCGGTGAAAACGACGTGCCATATCTTCTTAATCTTATTGACACCCCTGGACATATTGATTTCTCATATGAAGTTTCTCGTGCCATAGCAGCCTGCCAAGGAGCATTGCTCCTTGTTGATGCATCGCAGGGCGTACAGGCGCAGACGGTTGCCAATTTCTGGCTGGCTTTCAGCCAGGGCCTTTGTGTTATTCCAATTGCTAATAAGGTAAATTTGAGCGCTTCTTTCTGTAAGACCGATTTGCCAACAGCTAATCTGGCGTCTATTGGTGACCAGATTGAGGCGAATTTTGAAATTCCTCGGAACTCCATCATCCCCCTTTCAGCAAAGACAGGGGAAAATGTGATAACTTGTATAGATCGGATCCTAACCGATGTACCATGGTAAAGGGCTATATCTTACTTTTGTCCTCCCGGAAATCCAGATGCACCGCTAAGAGCACTTCTTTTTGATTCAAAATATGACTCTTATAAGGGCGTTGTTTGTCATATATTTGTTGTCGATGGTTCTTTAAAAAAAGGTAAGTATCGAGCCTTTGCTAACAGCCCAGGCGAACAGATTCAATTTTCTTCCAATGGAAAGAAATTCGAAGTGTTGGAGCTTGGATTTATAACCCCTCAACTTGTCTCAGGAAAGAAGTTGAGTACCGGTCAAGTCGGATATGTATGTCTAGGAATAAAGGACCCCCGCGAGATATGCTTCATTGGAGATACCATTTTCCATCCCCATTCTGCAAAGCTAATCACGCCCTTGCCGGGGTTTCAAAAGGCCAAGAGCAAGGTTTTCGCTGGACTATATCCACAGGAGCCGTCCGAATATAATATGCTTAAAGATTCGATCGAAAAGCTGCTTTTGAATGATTCTAGCATATCGATTTGCTGCGATGCAAGGTAAGATTTTGTATTTTATACACCAGTGACGCTCTTGGAAGAGGATGGAGACTTGGGTTTTTAGGATCCCTGCATATGGATGTATTCCAGCAGCGACTACTGCAGGAATTTGGGGCCGAAGTAATTTTTACTTCGCCCACCGTGCTATATAAGGTACGTCATGGAGTTTCCGTTGATTCAGATAAATTACAAAGGCTCCAGGGGGACTCAATATATATCTTCGACCTCTGAATTTCCCGGAATCGAGGAATCTCCCGATATTTTGAGCATCGAGGAGCCGATGGTTCGTCTTACATTAATTGTACAACAAGAGGCAATTGGGCCTATTCTTTCCCTGTTGCTGGGGCGTCGAGGTGTCCACCAACAAATGTCCATGGTCGATTCGAACAGAACGCTGATCGGCTTTCGATTGCCATTAGCAGAAATAATAGTTGATTTCTTCGACACTGTGCAAAGTATCTCGTCCGGTTTTGTTACGTATATTATGAATGACCTTTACGCTTTAGCTTTGATTATGAGGAGGATGGATATGAAGAAAGCGACCTGGTCAAGATTAGCTGTCTTGTGAACAGAAAAGTTGTCCCTGACCTTTCTTTGATATGCCACCGATCGAAAATACAAGGGATCGGAAAAACTTTGATTTCAACACTAAAGGAACTGATTCCAAGGCAGCAATTCGAAGTGGCCCTACAAGCAGCTGTAGGGGGGCACGTGATATCAAGAGATAATGTCAAGGCATATAGAAAGGATGTGACCGCCAAATTGGTATTTGTTATTTTTACTAATCCCGCAGTATGGCGGAGATCCAACTCGTCGGATGAAGCTTTTGGAACACCAAAAAGAGGGAAAGAAAAAACTCAAGATGATTGGCGATGTGGAGGTGCCACAGGAGGCATTTCTCGCCATCAACCAGCACAAGAAAAAATCGTGAGCGTGAAATGAACCGATGGATCGGTGGATAAATAAATACTTAAGGAGTAGCCGAGGAATGTTGTGATTTTTTATTTCTTAGACGCTACTTTTCGCAGTGTTGGCCTTTGGAAGAGATTAAAAATGCTTACAACAAGCATCCCATAAACGGTAGAAATAAAAACGGGGACGTTGAAGGGCATCGCAAAGTCTGGAACTGGCAATTGCAAAATTAGCGGGGATGACCAAATGGAACAGGGCGTTTCTTTATCCAGTTCCACCCTCAATTGAGCTGACCTACATCGATGATTAGTTGAAATAGCCAAACCCGATTTCTAAACCTCTATGTGCGTCCAAAGGAAACTCGGTATATCTTAAGAACCTTTTGTCTGCTTCCATTGTTATCCTAATGGTAGTATTTGCAGGAACAAGGAGGTCGCTGATTTCTATAATCGAGGGATATTCCCTAACGCTAGAGGGATGGATTTTCACATTTGAAAAAAGGGATGACTTTCGCGAGAACATTTTGGAAACAAATTCGCTAAATGGCCTTGGGGTATCAAATCCGAGCGTATGATACCAGCATTTTATTTCCCAGGGAATAATGTCCAACAAAGACACATTATAGGAAGAAAATAAATCGGTGTTTTTAATCACATAGGAAAATCTTCCTTTGTAAATGGAGTACGGAATGTAATATCGTTCAAAGGAAATAACGCCACAAAAGGTGCATTCGTTGTCTTTTTTAACAAACCCCGACACCAGTCCTCGATATGAAAGCGGCTCCCCGTCAATTAAAATTGACGCATTGTCAAAGGTGCTTGGAATCGACCCACCGAGAAGGAGGGTAACTTTTTCTAATGCTTCACTTGCACTGTTATCATTCGGGGACAGGTCGTCAAATTTGAATGGGGTAAAGAAACGTTGAGTGGAAAAGGTAGAGTAGCTTTCAAGCAAATAAGGTAGATGGACATGCATAAATGTATCCAACTATGAAAAAGGCCGCAACAAATTACCTTCAGGGTCGGTCCTCTCTGCATGGTGATGCCGATAGAAAAATACGAATTCTTCATAATCGACTTTACATTCAGCAGGCAGCTAACGGAAGACTCATAACTGGAGGTTCTAGACAGTTGTAATAGCTTTTCAATGTTCTCTATACAAACGACCTGGGCGGGAAAATGAGATATTAGCTTCGTCGATGTTGCATCCGCTAAAATGGCCACCCGATTAGACTTGGCAGCGGTCATATTTTCCAAAGAAACACTAAACAAAGAGGATAGAGAGGATGTTATCATCTTCCAATCCCTCCACACTATTTGGCTTTCGCTTGTCAATACGGTCTCAATAAAGCATCCAGATGGATTGACCGCAAGATTTGGGTGGCGCCCACTTGTGATCGAAAATACAAGAGAGTCCATTTTAGAGATCGAGCGAAACAGTCGCAATATGGGCAGAGGAAACTCAACGTCTAGTATGCCAAAGGTCAAAGACATGCATACCTTGTGGCAATGTCAGTACATTTTGGGCAGGAGGCACAGGAATTTCAAAGGAAACCCCAAATTTGCAAAATATTCCGCTTGCGAGCTGCTGTATTTCCAAAAGTTCTTTAGGCCTTCCCGCATGCAAGACGGAAAGGCACAGCATGAGAAGGAAAATCAAAGTCAGCGGCACCGCCATCATCTATCCTGATTGTAAATTAATTGAATTTGCTTGGATTTATTTATTGGGTAAAATTTGGAATCCAAATGGCACCCACCCCAGGCTAGGCGAACAATTTATACTTGCCAACCAAAAATGCCAGCGCCAAAACGGCCATTCGGATTGAGCGGTCAATCAAATCCCTGTGCGATTTGCCGCTGAAAATCGCATGTGTCAATATCTTCAAAATCTTTTGAATCAAAAAGAAACGGCCATCGAGGATGACGAAGCACAATGCAAAGATGAATGCCCTGTATATGTTAGCGGCTTTTGCCAACCAAACCTTATTTGGGACGCTCGTGAGTGGGATTTCCGAACCAAATTGTCCTAGAAATCAGGTGCATCATATCACTCTTACTTGAAGCAATTGGAGTTTAGACTCCACCTCTTTGACTGTTCTCGAATTCTAAAGTTAGCAAAAAAAGTACCTGTTCGTCTAGAGCCAGGATCTTGATTGATGTCTGGCAGATTTGGTCTGTCGTTTCGGACAATTTTCTATCCAAAGTAGAAATTTCGGTGGACGATTTGACGGCCGAGCCCTCCAGGTCCACAATACGCGCTTCATTGTATGCTGATTGCTCCTGCAAGGCAGAAACGATGTTGCTATATTGAACGGCCTTGTCCTGAAATTTTGGTAAACACACAAAATAAAGCGTACCCTTAGCCCTTGGAGCTGCTGAAAGCAATCTTCCAAAGATTTCCCTACGCCATTTGCTATGGTGTTCGCTTACCTGTAAATCTGCAATAGCTGACGAAGATCTATAAACAATCAACGGCACGCTCAAACCTTATTGAATTTAGACTGGTGATCAATCCATTCGGCCAGGTAGTTATTGGCGCAACGCTCTTTTTCCAACATGACACATTTTGTTGGCGAAAGGGATTCCAGATGCTTTGCAAGATTTCCGACTGTCGCCTGCAAGATATTCCATTTTTTGGAGCCGGGCATTTGGGCGATCGTCATACGGCCGAAGAAAGATGCGGGCTCGCCACAAAGCCACGCCTTGCCATCATGTCTTGATGAAACAATTCGACCAATGGAGCAAATTTATATTTTGGGCCGCACTTTTACACCTTGAAATGCGACATTGGCAAATTTATTGCCACCGCTGCAAATAAAATTTCAACCCAAATGCACTGGGCACTGATCATCCCATTTGCCATTTTAAAGCATCAAACATTTTTTGGCAAATGTTTAGTTTGGAATTGAAGCATGCTGATTTGGTTTCGCTTGAGCGCCCCTTGCGGTCGTTCATCACAAATTATTACAGGGACGATGCAGAAAAATTTTCCACAGACATTGGCGTGCTCGAGGCCCTTAGGAGGGATGCCATTTCGGCGTTCGATGCAACCACAGCCAGCCTGCAGGTCTTGTCAAAGTAATTGGCATTTCAAAACCGATAGATACTATGGCTCGCTCAACGAGATCGAGCCAAAGTTTCCGATACGAGCAACTGGGGTACGATGTTTGCCAATATTTTAGGTCAAAATCGGCTTTGTCTGGCTCAATGCAATGCCAAAAGACAGGCGAATCAGTAGCGCCCATTTGCAGACTGACGTTTGTAGTTTCTTCCAATGCAATTGAATTTGAAAAGGCGGCTGTTTTATACAATTGCGCCATTGTTTATTACAAAATGGGGCAGAGCAGCCTGCATTCCATATCTTCAGATGGCATTAAGATCGCTTGCTCTCATTTTTCAGTATTGCTTTGATGTTTGATTTAGGCCGCTGCCGGGATCCTGCAGCACATAGCGGATAAGTATGCAGGCGAATATGCGGCCCCCGAGTGTTGCGACCTGTCCATAAAGTCGCTTTGTGGCCTTTATAAGCTGATGCTTTCATTGGCCCAAGAATGCTTTTACAAAAAGGCTCTACAAGGTATTTGACGCTATTTTCCACAGACTCATCCACGACCGCGTTGCTGCTGAAAATAGCGGTGTCCACGGCCGATTATTATGAGTCGGCATATGAAGATCTGACCATTCCGCCCCTGGATTTATGCTACGGAGAGACGTTTCTTGAGCGAATCAGAGCGAAATCCCTGCTTTATTTTAGCCTTGCGCAGTTCTATAAATCCCAGGAGCTCCATGAAACGTCCCATTATGGCGAGGAGGTTGCAAGGTTGGGTCTGTCGTTTGACCTTGCAAGAAAGGCAAAAGAAAGTGTAAAGCTATTTCCACTGGAATTTTCTGACGAAGTTCTTATTTACTTGCGCCGGGTTGAGCTTGCGCTGAAATCGGCCACCAAAGACAATAGCACCATTTATCACGAAAGGGTGCCCGAGTATCATTCCTTATCGATTCTTCCAAGAGCCACATTGGCTGTTTCCAGTTTTCCAGCCTTCTTGTTGCAAAGCAATAAAGCAGAACTGGGGCTTTTTCGCTCTCTGCTTCCCTATGGCATCAAACTGCTGTCTGACATGTATTCAAAGAAGAAGCAAAATATCATTTCACTGGCGACTTCAAATGTCAATGAGAGTGAAGAGTCCATCAGGTGGTACGGCGCGTTTTCCTTTAAAAGTAGCAACTTGAATTTGTACGAAAAGTTGTACAGCAATCCCGAAGTGCTGGAAAACCTGGAGAAAATGTATGTCGACGTGAAAACCGGGGCGAAAGCATTTGAGCTTGAAAGGGACAGCATTTTCTCAGCACTAAGGTCTTGTTTTGCCCGCATGTCAACGGTAAGCCGTGGGTCGATTATTGCCAGATCAAGCAGGTGATTTCAGATGAAGAAAAAGAAGACATGCTGCTGAGACAGCAACACAAGCATCAATGGATCAGGGAGCCCTCTTCAAATATCAATGTCTCCATGAATTTACAACTAGATGGCCTTTTTTCGGCGTGTCAGCAGTTGGATTTTTCGATGTTGGACATTGGAAACGCCTTCAATCAGCTTCGAGATTCAGATTTGTCTTCCCTGTTGGATTCAAACGTGCAAGCATATTCGAAGGCAGGAAATATGCTTCTTTTGCAGCAGTCAAAGTTGCAAGCGTACCCTTTAATATCGGAGATTAAAAAGCTACTTGAAGAAAGAACGTCGCTTGTTTTAAAAATCAAGAGCATCTCACAAGAAGATGACCTAAACCATGAGCTACAGAAGCTCAACTCCCGAAGGGACCAGGACGAGTTGATAGAAAAATCGCTGGAAAAATACGGCGACCATTCTTCGATGATTTCAACCGCCACACATAAGATTCACGTGTTGTTGAGTCAGATGAAAGTATGCGTGGAGCACTAAAATTCCATAGGCGCTACAGGACACGGAAGTGCCTAGCGGACTAGGGCTCGTTCAAAAAATCGACCTTCTGCAATCGACATATTCCAAACTCCAACCCCTGCAAAGTACAATTAGCGAAAAAAAGAGCGTCCTGGCCAACTTGGTGCATCAATTGAAAATGTTAGAGTCGGAAGCATTGGATTTTAATTATTCAAGAAAGTTGGAGGCAACCGAACTGCAAAAGTACAATAGTGCGCTTCATTATAGGCATTTATCGGCACAAAATAGCGCTGTAAAAGGCCAAGATGCCAATGTCACTTGCAAGGCAATCGGGGGCAGCCAAAACAAAGATATTTCTGGGAGCATAAAACCCACCGGAAGTCTTTCAAGTGCATCTCCCAAACCAAACGATGCGAACCCCCCGAAATCGTTTAAGAGCACCTTTAATCCTCAAACATCAGGGGCGAATCAGGCAAACACCGGCACAAATGTCACAGGCCAACCAAAAGCATGGAATCCAGCACTTCCCATTTGCTATGCCACCCCGACAAAGACTCAAAACAAGAGCGGCAACAAAGAACGCGAAAAAAATGTGGAGACCAACTCGTTCAACAATAAAATTTAAATTTTAAATTTTAATGGCCAACGCGTTTGAGGCCAGAATTGTAAAGGCAAAGGATACGCTTTGCGATGCAGAGCTCTCTGAGGAGCTCAATGATGTATATTCGTGGTATTTATCTTATGAAAAAAAGAAAAAATCTCCAAGGGAAGTGATCATATCGATCTACGAAAAAAGGGCCAACGACCTTGGCGAAGATGTCTTGGTTTGGGTCGACTATTACCAGTATTGCTTGAAAGAGGGGTTCTCTGGATATGAGGCTTTGCAAGATATTTCCCATCGTGCCTTGGAATTCCATCCAACCAATGTATATTTGTGGATACTGCAAATTGAGCTGATAGAGCTGCGATCAAAGTTAACATTTGACCTTGCGATGATCACAAAGGTTATTGACAAGCTGTCAGATGTCTATTCGACACCTGATTTAATCTCTTCCCTGATAACAACGTATGATGCCGTTGTGGATCTTCTGATACGAATGTCGAATCGAAAGGTTTTTTCGCTCGAAACTGCCATTTCATACATCGACAAAATGATTGAGCTGAAGCGGTTTAGGATGCCAAGTGCTGATCCTCATAGTAAGCCGATAGCGGATGGCATTTCTTTTCCATACGGGTCTAGCGCTCTGTTTTCGGCGCATTCGCCATCATTTTATCAGCTTGAAAAAAGAAAGATCTGGCTGCTTTTGGCGCAAAAGGGTGCACCATGTATGGTGGATGTGTCCCACATACGAACTTTGTTTGAAGATACAATACTGCGGTGCAAAAGAGAATCAAAGAGCATCACCACATGGCTCGATTACATTGGCATGGAGAGGTACTCGAGTTTTCTTTACCACAACTTTAGAGTTTACGATCCAAACAACCAAAAAATAAGATCGCTCTACAAAAGGGCTATCTCGAACGTCGAATCTGCCGATAAAGAGAAGCTGGTATCGGAATGGGTTAACTGGGAGCGGACGTTTGGAGATGATTTGGAGCTGCTGATAGATTGCAGATGCAGGGTTCTTGCAGATCGCCAGAAAGAGCGAAAATCGCAAAAGAGAAAATCAGACCGTGAAAACCAAGACAAGTTTAAAAAAGCAGCCCATCAGGATGAGGGAAAACGGCCCCCGTTGCTGGAATTTCGGGATCATCAAAAGGGACCCGCTTCACACGAGAAAAATGCCGATCAAGAAACTCATGACGACCAAAAAACCCACGACGCTGAACAAACCCACAAAGATCATGTCGAGTCTACTTTGCCGAAACACCGTGGCGATCATGAGCCGTCTGCTTTGATGGACGTTGAAACTCAACATAGTCCCGATGGAAAGCAAGGCATTTACACTGCATTCCTATCCAATCTGCCATTTTCGATGGAAAAGCCCCAGCTCATTTCATTTTTGAATTCGGTACTACCATGCCCATTTACAACAATAGGAGCTAGGCATTGTCTCGATAAAGGATCTCAGGCTTGTATGCAATCCAAACGGGTCGTTCAAAGGATATGCATATTTGGATCTTTGGGACAAGGTATGATCCTCATTCTTTGATTGTAGGACGAGTACGAGCGCATCTTGGGAAAAGACCGGGTTCCGTTTATGAAAAGACCATTGTTTATATCAATCCTCAAAGAAAAGCTCAGGCCGGAACCAAGAAAAAAGTCTATTGATGTCGACGAAACGGCAAGCGTTGCTCACTTCAAGCCGAGCTCTGTTGCGCATCGAAAATGACCGCCACACAAGACCACTTGGATGGACCTGATCACTCGGGCATATAAAAAATATTCGCCAAATAAAAATTTAATTTTTTCCAACTTTGCTAGCTCAATGCTTACCTACAATATTGATAGCGGATTTATCGATGGCATCATTCGCGGGTACAAGTTGGGGCTAATTACAAAGCGCCAGTATTCGTCGCTAATCCAATGCAGCAATTTGGAGGGTTTGCATGCTTCAATTCATAATAAGAGCTTAGGATACAAATGCTGGCCACCGATTATGCTCCATACTTCCAGCAGGATTCTCAGCCTCTTACTACTTCGGGCATCTACCAAAGGTGTCTGGATTTCTACTACGAGCAGTTTGAATTTATCCGACTCAATTCGTCAGGATGTCTCTCCAAGCTTCTGGATTACATTAGGTTTGCCATCGCTTGTTATCTTTAGCTATGGCTACATGATCGACAATGTGATTCTTATAATTTCGGGCACCCTGCACGAAAGAGACATCTCCGAGCTGCTGTCAAAATGCCACCCAATTGGTATGTTTGACGGCATTGAGGCATTAACGACAAGCACCAACCCGTTCGAGCTGTATCAGACCGTGCTTATTGCCACCCCGTTAGGTTGGATCCGTTTGGTTGCACTAACCCGTAGCACCATACTTTGAACTGTGCGTATCTGCAAAAGACCTGAACGATAAGGACCTGCAAATAATCAGAAACGTTCTGTACAAGGCGTATTTGGAAGACTTTTACTCGTTTTCCGTCGGTCCCGTTCCAGTATGGTGTGATTGCGGTAAATATTAGGGGGGCAACTCCAGCTCAAAAGCCTCCGAAATGGACAGTGTAACTCGAGCGCAGATGAAAAAGTTGCTGGAGTTTGAGTCTGACCGAGCCACGATAGAAATTGCCGTCAATTCTATCAAAACCGGCCTGTCTCCAGATGAAAAGCTGGCTCTTTTTCCGGGGCTTGGGCAGCTCGGAACTTTTGAGGTCAGTGCAAAGCTCTCAAATGCAGAAGAAATTTCGGATATACAGTCCGCCCTTTCTGCATTTCCAGAGTTCAGGAAAGTGGTAGACTCGCTGAAATCGGCAAATTCGTTCGATTTTGGAGGCACATCGGACGCGAATCGTCCCTCCGCATCGATGGATGATCTTCTCTATGCCATGGAGGTAGAATTGCATCGATTTTCCTTTTTTGGGCAGTTCCACTATGCAAATTTCTACTCGTTTTGTAAGCTCAAGGAGCAGGAAATTAGAAACATCCTCTGGATTGCCGAGTGCATTGCGCACAAGCAGAGGGCAACCATTAACAAGTATGTGCCCATTTTTTGAGAGTAAACTATCTAAATGTAAAGCCGTCCCCAGAAGAATGTAATGGTGGCTTGTCATTTGATTGGTGCGCCCCTCTCCTTGCACGGCGAGCTTAATTGCGGAGTAAAATTTAAGAATTCCAATTCCGGTTTCCGTTTTTGTTCATGCAATGATGGCGCGCCCGAATTAATTTTTCGCCATGAAAGAGGTTTATTTGGCCGTTTTGCTTGGAGTTTCTTTGATTCTCTGCTTGAATTTGATTGAGGCCTGTGCAGAAATTAGAGTTAGAAAGGAAATTAGGGATCTTTCTCCTGACGAATTAAGCCGGCTGCATGCTGCCATCAAGACATTAAATACAAGAACGGCGGGCCAAATGCGCTCCACATGGGACTTGGTGACCAATTTACACCTGTCAAATGTGCCGTTTGCTCATGGGTAACAAGTGGTGCTGATTTCCGTTAGATTGCCAGCATTTCTGCCGTGGCATAGGTACTTTGTCTGGTACGTGGAGAATATTCTCCGAGAAATCGACCCCACTATAACGATTCCATATTGGGTTTGCTGTGTTTAATTTTAATTTTAATTGTAGGATTGGTCCATTGACTCTCAAGCGCCGGAGCAATCGATCGTTTTCAGCGATGCCTATTTTGGAGGAAATGGGGATCCATCTAACGGGGGATGTCTTAGTACAGGGCCATATGCCAATTGGAATGTGTCCATTCCACAAACCCACTGTCTTGCGCGCTCTTTCAACGGAGGGACCAAGATTTCCTCATTTGTTGCCCCCGTTATTTTGGCATTGATTATTTCGCAATCAAACGATTTCGATGCATTCAGACAGGCCATTGAATCCACTCCACATGCAGCTCCGCATATAAACATCGGCGGTGATATGCGGACAATGTATTCGCCAAACGACCCTCTTTTCTATCTGCATCATGCTTATGTGGACAAAGTCTGGTATTCGTTTCAATTGAAAAACAACAAGTCGTTCTTCTATGCTTTCGATTCGGAAACGAACCCAAACATCAACCGAAATTATATACTGGCCCCATTTAACACGCCGGTTTCTTCCGTTTTGGATCCTCTTCAGCTTTGCTATAGATATCAAGAACCCTCGGCCCGATCCGGGCCGGCTTCTCGCCCATTCGCGGCGACGACTTCTTTTGGGCCCGATTTGAATTCTCAAAATGGCAGCGTTGCGTCTGATGTCAACGCGCCTAGTTCGAGGACCGTAATTACTTCAGAGAGAAATGAAGTTTCAAAATTCAACTTTTCAGCAACTTTTCTGCTTGGGTCAAATGGGACTCTTATTTCGAGCGCCGTATTTTCGGCAAACAAGTCAGCCGTGGCTTTGGCATACTCGATCCTCGACGCAATAGTTGGATCGCCCCAGTCTGCCCTTCAAGTCAGGGATGCCAATTTTTTTGAAAAGATGTTCTCCTTTGACAAGGCGCTTATTGAGGGTAGAAACCCAGACTCCCTCGATAGGCAGGATGTTACAAAGCTTCGCCTGCCACAGGAGATAGATGACGAATACATCCATCACATGGGCATGGATTTCAATGCTGTAAGAAACATCGAGTCCGCCCTGAGCACCCTGTATGATCTCAGCAACAACAGCTAAGAGCTCCTCTCAAGTGAGGCGAATATTTTACAAGAATTTAATAAATCGAAATTTATCCCAGCCCCACCCGCTGCTATCGGCTAACAGATTGCAAATTTTCTTTCCACAAAATGTAGTCGGCAGAGTGCACAGGAGCCTCCTTTTGAACAGGATTGATGGGCGGTGTGGGGTACCAAACAACGTTTCCCGCCTTGTCTCTGGAAAAACAAGATGCCAGCTCCGCAGGTAGATTCGGCATCACCGCGTGTGCACTTTCAAAAGCTTGGCAGTGGGTGTTGACATGCATTTGGAACGGCTCTGAAATCTGCCTAAATGCCGATTTCGCTGGCGTCGCCATGCCGGAAGATAAAAGCTCTGGCAGCTGGATGATGTGGTCCGAAGCATGTCTGCACAATCCTTCAAGCAAATTAAACGTCCTGGAAAAAGTAAACGGGCAAGCCAAACGTACCGCGAGCAGGCCGTTGAAAACGTGCATCCAACTTTGATACTTTCCCCGACACGCTTCCTCGATTGAAGAGAGTTCTGCAGGGACGGAAGAATGGAAAAGGTGTCGTCTCTCCTTTCGGATAACACGGTCGCACCTTTCAGTTGAGCCATTGCCGAAAAGTTGCAAGGATATACGCGGTTGCAGCCGGTGTCAAATAAATAGCTGCAGTGGTACAAATTGCTGCCGGACGAATTTGCCTGCTGAACAATGTTCGGTGCTCCAAACAACGAAATCGAAACTTTCTGGATAATTGCAGACAAAAGGACCAGCTTTAAAATCGGTGTCGCAAAAAGTTCCTTCGTTTCGGAAGAAGCAGGTGGCCTGACGTCCATTGAAACTTGCTCCGTCTAACCTTAAAAACACATTTCCAAACCTGAAGCAGAATGGAAACAACACATCCAGAAACGGCCGATGACTTCCACAGCTTGACAATCCAGCCGACAAACCGCCCGGCCCCAAACCCATCAGATGATGGGAGAAGAAAGGACACCGAATCGCCAATATGCAGCTGTGTGTTTGAATTTGGCATCTCTAGCGACTGTACAAAACGGACCTTGACAGTTAAAATCCACAGAGCCCTACCAGGGGGAGCCGGCCCATCCCGTCGATAACATTAAATTGATATGGCGCTTGCTGGACCACGTCGATTTTGTGGGCAGGCGAGCCGGAAGTAGCAGAGAGGCCCAATAATTGTGGCTTAATGGTGACGTCCAGCAGGTTCTATTGAACAGGTACGCAAATTGGGTAGCTAACTTGTAGCGCATCGATGTCCTTGAACATTAAAGCTGAATTTATGGCAGAGGGTCTTTTTGAGGCAATCACGCGAGCATTGGCCAAAAGCAGCTCCACATCAGAAAGCCATTGATGGAGTGACGTGTACTTCAGCTTGTCGATCCGATTTCGGATCATCAGGAACGAGATGGGATGTCGGATGATTTCATAATACTCTGGGTCTTCTTCCCGCAATGGAAGCTTTTTAAACTGTTCAGAAATGGTCCTCCCGCTAAAAGGGAACTAAATACGGCACAGCCAGTACCTGTCGTCACGGTAGCAGCGCAGGTATTGGTGGAACCGCATAATCACAGAATGAAGTTCGTCCATGTTTGAGGGCTGCTGTGCAAAATGGGTCTTTGGAGGCACGCCATCTGGCGCAAAAAACGCCGGTGCTGCCGATGAATTGCTGAAATAAGGAAATGCTGGAAAAGAGGGCATTAAAGTAAACTTCAAAATTTCAAGCTTACATTTACACATTCGCCACGCCACGCCCAGCCTAAATTTTAAATTTTGGCCTCTTTGATAAACTTTCAGACAATATGACCGTTTCCTTCCAATAGGAGCCTATTTGGTGATTTAGTGACTCATTTTGTCTATGCGTACGCCATATATAGAGAAGCTTCCAGTATCAAGAAATTAAGTTTACTAATCGGTAGATAATCTTTAAATTTATTGTTAATCACAATTCTCCCCATTTAATTACCTGATCATTCAATGGTCGCCTCTTGCTCTTCTTCTGTTAATCCATCGATTGACGAAAACATATCCGCTGCAATGTCTAGCAAATCTGAACAATGCTATGTAGAAAAAACGCAGCCCACTCCTCGGTTTTCCGGTTTTGTAAAGTTCTTTAATACCCAAAAGGGATATGGATTCATTATTCCCACCGAGGATCTTTCCTTGTATTATAAGATTGTGCCTTCGGAAAGTAGAGATTCGTGGTTTTATTCGTCATAGTTTTTGTTCACCATTCGGCAATAATAACTGAGGGCCTTGGGTTCAAAAGTCTTACCGAGCATGAGTTGGTAACTTGCGTTTCTCTTATAAAAGGTTGAATTTGAGCTAGTTCAGGGCCCTAAAGGCATCCAGGCCGGGAATGTGACCGGACCCCGGGGTTCCCATGTATTGGGAGATCCTATTTACTCCGGGGGAATATTGGTAATCTTTTTGTACTTTTTCATTAGAGCCAAGTTCCGATTTCCACTGGGTTTTTCCCCCCAGGAACGTTTAACAATCCTGACGGTATTTTACTTAATGGAATGCTTCAGGGTAATAACCCCGCCTTAGGACCGATACTCTATCCAACGCCACCTGGGTTCTACCCGCCAGGGGTTATTAGTATCTCTCCTACGGTTCTTACACAGCATTTCCAGAAATCACAGGATCCTTCTTCAAATATTGTAGATATCCAAATAGAGCAGCGACAAGGTGAAATGAGCCAAATTGGCTCGACTTAGGATAACTCCGAAGTGATATCACCACCCATCACCTGTGGCTAATTATTAAAATTGACACTGTGTAATTTGTATCATGTTGCCTTCAAAAGTAAAAAACTGCTATCTGTGAGGTTCGAACTCACGCCTCCACAGAGATGAGATCTTAAGTCACACGCCTTAGACCACTCGGCCAAGATAGCACATGCAAATGCAAAAGTAGCTTAATACATTGTATATCATTCATATCGACTTTATGGTTAAAACACAATTTTTCAAGATGGATGCAAATGAAGCTAGCATTTTAGAAAGTGACCAGGATTCTTTTGACGAGTTTTTGCAGCAAAACCAGGATTCAACCCACCTCCTTGTATTTTTATAGCCTTTTACATAGAACTCGTCAATTAGAGAAATTCAACCCTTCCTTTTGTCCAAGTGTCCGGGAAAATTGAACTCTGAGGGGCATGTCAACTTTGCCTTGAATCTTTTCAAAAACTCGCTGCCCTTCGCCTCGATTGCATTAGACACTAGCAGACCGTGGCTGCTATATTGGTCGCTGTCAATTTTAACGCTTTTAAAGATGCCAATTCCTGATAATGTGAAGAAATTGTATGGAGTTGCCGTTTCTTTTATTGCTTAGGTGTTTGTCTCAACTACACAACGAATATTATATCGAGCAAGAGGGCGCATATGGAGGCTCCTCTTCTTGCTCCTCCTCACACATTCTAACAACCTTTGCTTCGCTGTGCTCACTTGCTCTGATAGGCGGTCCAGACGATTGGTCCAAAATCAACACCCAGAATCTACTTGCATGGCTTTCTCGGCTATTTTCACCAGAAAAAGGAGTATTTTCTGTTCATCTTGATGGCGGTGAGTCTGATCTCCGTTCGGTGTATGCGGCAATTGCAATCATCCATTTGCTTGGATTGGAAAAGGAATTTTTCCACGACCCCTGTTCGCTTGAGAGGATCCAGCAGTCCATAATTTCGGCCCAGTCGTACGAAGGTGGTTTCGGTGCCATACCATGGAGCCATACCGAAGCCCATGGCGGGTATACATACTGTGGACTAGCTGCTCTTGTAATCATAGACAGATGGACACTGTCATCCGCGTCAATCGACACATTGTTGCCCGAATCAAAAATGACGCGTTTACTGGCCTGGACTTGTGGTCTGCAATCTACCCTTCTTGGTGGTTTGCAAGGGAGAACTGGCAAGCTTGTCGATGCTTGTTATTCATTCTGGGTTGGAGCCATTCCCTTACTGCTAAACCGCCCCACAAAGGAGTATATCGATGTTGGGTTACTGAGGAATTACCTCCTCAAGGCCTGTCAATGTTCGAGCGGAGGAATCAGGGACAAGCCTCCAAAGTAGCGCCCATCACTGATGTCATAGGGCTCCCGATCTGTACCACACATGTTATTCCTTGGCTGCGCTTTCCCTGCTTCAAAGCGGCTCACCGAACGGTGAGGAAAAACACCCATTGGTAAGTCGCCATTTTTTATTTAGACGGCCATCGATGCTGCATTCAATTTACCTGCCGCCAAGATTACCCAAATGCGCAATTGGTTCCTCCAAATAAAAAGGTCGTTGTAATTTTTGCACGCTTCCCATTCACAACATGTAGTTGTACACAAGAGCCAGAGCGACTGCAGCGGACCCCAGGGCCAGTGCACCAAAGAAACCCAAAGACAGGCCTCTACTGGAAAGAAGGGGCTTCTTATTGTATTCTAAGAGCCCTCTAATAGGCAGCGGTGGCGAACCTTTCCTCAAAAGCACCCCATCGCCTCGAGCAGCGATAAGCTGGGCAAGCAATTCGGTAGCACAAGGCCGATCCATTGGATCGAGAGAGAGACACTGCGAAATGGCTCCCCAATAAATCGACGAGATTGCATTTGGCGGTCGAGGGTGTTTTGCCCACTGGACCAAGTTAAACGACTGCCCCGTGACCAGCTCGAAAATGATGACCCCAGCAGACCAAATGTCTCCAGCTTCCATATAGGCGCGGCTTGACGACGCGTTGATCTCAATTGGAAACGAGGCGATAACCTCGGGCGCCGCATATTCTGGCGAGACTTCCTTGAACGCATCAGAGGCGGCCCCGAAATTGGAGGAGCTGCAGCATTCACCAAAGTCGCTAATAACGAGCCGACCGGGGTGCAGCCATGACGATCCATCAAGAAGCAACAGGTTTGAGGGCTTCAAATCGTGATGAACGATCCCACACGAATGCACGTAGACGAGTCCGGTGGCAAACTCGATCATGATTCTGGAGGCCACTTCGAAAAAGCGCGAATCGAGCCTTGGAGCGGGTTCTTTTCCCTTTGCCTCGCGATTTTGATTGGAGTTCACTTTGACAAGCCAGTCCTCGATGGATCCGCCCGTTGCCAGCTCCATTAGCATGAAAAGCGAGGGGACTTCAGGGCCTACATGGTTAGCCAAATGGCCTTTGCGATACCAAAATCAGAGACTTGATGATATTCGATCCATGTGTGCTTGTACGAGACAATGTTTGGATGGCAAAGCCTTTCCAACGCATTGACCTCGTTGAGCATAGCCACGAGCCAGCGGTGGTTGTTCCCTTTGATTACTCAACAGCGAATACCGATTGGGATCTTCTTCACTGCGTACATGCCAAGCTCCACATCGTCCAGCACGTGCTGACTGAAATAAGCAGGGGCTATCGACTAACCAAATGAAGACGGTGCCACGAAGTCCATGCCCCAGTCGCTTGCCCTCCCTAAAAAACCGAGCATAGTAGCCCTGGTTGAAGGATGAATCTGACAATCCGACTTCGGTTTCAAAGCTAATCCGCAACGGAGAATCCCGAGCACCGCCGCGCAAGAGCTTCCTACGCATAAGTGCCTATCAAATGCCTCAAAAGCGTGCCAAAGTAGTTCCTCTCAAACGTAGATGCCGAATATGCGCGGTCGTCGAAAAAAGGGCGTCCACATGTGGGGCATCCTGCTAAAAACTGCTGTGCAAGCGGGCCGGCACGGGCCGATGAACAGGTAGAGGGCCTTGGACGAATCCTACCAATTAAAAAGGCCATATACTGCACTGCGTTGTTGGCAGGTCCGCCCTCCCCCAATATGCACAGCGACGAAGCGTCGTGAGTTGCAGGCTGCAACGCAGCATGTGCATCTGTAGGCTCCATAGGCTGATAAATTTTGTAAAATGTTGTGTCCAAAATTGCTGTTGTGAATTTTTTTAGAAACAAACTGCAGGCCGTGGCTATTTTGGGGCTCTTGAAAGGGCATGTTTAATCATCCTCGATGCTACTGCGCATGTTCTCGGTCTATCTACAGGTCTACTGGCCTTGGTCACATAAGTTGCTGATTTCACCATAAGGGAATACGGGGGCGGGATGCTCAACGTCGCTGCAGCTGGTTCCATCACATCTGTGGTCAAGTTGGAGCGTGACTCTCCGATATGATCACACCCTGTTGGCCTTGTAGAACAAGAGGTGGCCGCTATTTGGCCAGCGTCTGCTGTGGATGAAAGCATATTTGCATTGACAAAAGAGGCAGCCGAAGCAAGTGTGTTGAAGACAAGTGTGATCCGACAGGCCTCTGCATCCGGATCGACGATGGAATATGTTGAGGCATGGATTTTGGATTTGGCCAAAATATGGGCTTTGATTTCATCTGCGGTTGGCAGAGCGTTGCAGAATCTCACTTCGACCATATGGGATGGAGGGTTAGCACTTTTTTCGAGCGACAGGCGGTCAAAAAGCGACGAAAGGTCGGAAACATTCCTTTTCGGAACAATCAATCCCATTTCGGGCTTTGAATCGGCCTCTGCTGCCGCCATCGCGCCGGCACCGGCCAACTGCAATTCAACCTTTTCACAGCTAGGATTGCCATTTTCGGGCGAAAAGGCTTGGGATGACGGCAACGATGGCATCCTTCGCAAGGTATGGCAGTATGATGGTATGATGCGCGTATGCCAAATAAAAACAAATTGGAAATTTAATTGAAAAAGCCAAAGTTGTTCACCTCTAGCGCGAGTCCCTAATTTTAGCAAGCCTCTCTTTGATCGATGAGATTTGGATAGACAGATTAGAAGATGCCAAAAGGGTTGCTTTTTTCATTTCGCTCACAGGAGAGTCCACGGGCTTCGTGGCGATAGATCCATCTGCACCGGTCAACCGATAAAATTCACTTGTGTACCCGGAGAGTCGACTTCGATATGCATCGATGGTCATTTCTGCATTTCCACTGCCGCCATCATTGTTGGGACGACGGTCAAAACTTGCATCCGCATCACCCGAGCCATGGTCATTGGCTGTATCCATACCACCCACGTCATTGGCAGAGACGGACTTGTCGTTTCCAGTCAGATGCGAAAGTAGCAGATGAAGGGATTCGCTAGCCTCGCCTTCATTGGGGACATTTCGAACAGGTGGAACAACAGTATTGAGGGATACGTTTGAGCAGGCTGCCCATCTTGCTACTTGTTGCAGGATCGTCTTGATGCTTCGAACCGTGGTCTCATTGATGCCTTTATAGGAGCTCCAAGCAGAAACCGGATTTCGCCGGATAAAGTAGAGACACGAGGACAGAATCTCAGCAAGCACGTCTCGGTGCTGATATGGAGATCCGGTTCCTTTTCCTAGAAAGATCTCAAAGTTCCTCGATGCCCGCCATAGACATTGCAGAACTGTCTCTCCCGTGATGGATGGACTGGGGGATGGCGAACCGGTCGACACGACTGTTGAGCACCACTCTATGAGCAGACCAATTACATGGCCCGGATGGGCGTTCGAGATCACTGCCTTTAGCACCAGATTTGAAATAAGCGGCAACGTGGCAGAGGAGCTCTCTGCCTCCACAACTTGCAATAGGCCTGAAGAGAGAAGCAGATCAAACAGGGCCTCGATTCCTGGGCGCCTAACAGTTTCCAGCAGAGAGGCATTGAGAGCCACTGCTAGCAGAGTTCCGAGCGCTTCTTCTGCAACCCGAGTTTCTTCCATTGAAAGCTTGCACGAAAGAGCCTTTTTGATTCTCCGGCAAAGTACTACACAGAGCATTTGGGTATATGGGGCAAGTAATGAACACTCTGCGGCATCGGAGCGAGAACCCGTTCCCGTAGATGAAGGAAGCTTGAATGAAAGTACCCCAACAGCCTCAAGGGCCGTCGCGCTCTCTGGAGATGATATTTGCTGCAAAAGCAGCTCAATGTTGACATCAACTGGATCGTGGGCAAGATTCGCTTCTATAGGATCGCCATGACCTTTGATTGCACAAGAGCTATCGCTTGATTGGTGCCCATCAACAATTTCTATCATTCCCTCCGGATTGACGCAAATATTATCCATCGAGAGATCTGCAAGAGAAGCCGGGAGTCTTTCTTCGTCGTCTTGCGCCGCATCAAGCTTTGCAAGCAAATCTTTTTTCCGCTGCCGCAGGTGGGCTGACAATGGCGAACCGCCCATGGCATTTGCTGCTCGTTTTGTCTGTGCCAAAGGCGAGCCCAAAGCTGCCGCGTGTAGAAAGGGTCTTGGGGAATTTGGCAAAACCCTCTGTGTCGATACTATGATCTTTTCTATGATAGACGCAAGCTCCGCATCCCCTCCGATGATAGTTCGTCCACAGGAGAGAAATTCTCCAAACTTTCCCTTAAGAAGCTCTACTAGTTGAGTGGCCGGAATGGCAGAGGCAAGAGCAGAAAGCATTCCGATTAGAGATCTCCGTACCAGTGAATCGCTTTCATTGCACGCCAGGGCCATGGCAGCAACATCTACGATTCTCCGAGAGAGCTCTGAAATGTCAAACTCTGGGACCGATTTCGATTCTGGCCTGGAGTCTGGCCTGGAGTCTGACTTTGGCCTCAATCCAGAGGTTGCCTCTGGCCCAACCCTAGACTCGGTATCTGAACTATTGGAAGCAAGGAGGATGGGACCCACGCGTTGGATGACCGTAGATGCGAGATCTGCAAGCTCAGACCGAGCCCTTACAGATGCAGCAAGCGGCAACGCCAAGGCAAGCAGGCCTGAGGGATCAGAAGCCACCTCTTTTGATGACTCCTGCATCGACATGCCAGCGGAAGTTGCCTCAACAAGATCAATAAGAAGGGGGCTCAATAGCTTGCTTGCAGGATAAATCCGCAGGAACCCATCTGTGAGGAACCTTCGTGCTCGCTGGCGAACCGCCTCTCTGGGATCAAGTGTCGAGAGCGAGATAAGGAATAGGGCCAAGTGAGTGGCCTCGGACGCTGCCAAGCGGCCACTATGACTTTCAAGGGTCCCAGATATTTCCTCAATAGCATCTAGAGCCGACAGCATTACAGCACTCGATGATATCTGCGCCCTTGACGACATTTCCATTGATTTTGAAGATAAAGTGTCCGTGAAATCGCCTCTCCCAATCACGCACATCATAACTGACCGGAGAAGTGGCTCTGCCATCACTGAAACAATGGCCTTGGAGAGCAGATGTGATGGAATGGCTGTCCGAAGCGCCTCCAGTGCCGCCAAAAGCACCTTTTCATCTGAAAGCAGCAGCGAGCGCACCCATGAGGGACAAAAGATCCCAATCTCAAGAAGCGAATCGGCAGCGCGCCATTGCGGGGAGATTGGGTTCTGGATGTGCATGGGCACCGATTGCCTTCCAATAAGCGCAATCATATCTGCCTGCGGGGTGCTGTCCCGCATTCGTTGGCTACGAAGAGATTCGATGATCGAAAGAGGCGCTCCATTGTTTATGGAGGTATCAAGCACGGAGACCAGTCTTTGCACAAGGACACTATTAGAAAGGTCTGCCAAAAACGGCGGAGAAGGCAATGCTGGTACTGACGCTGCGGAAAACGGAAAATTGATGGAAGGGAATGATGCAACCGGCTGGACTGTCGGAATTCGACTTGAAGGAGCAGGGGAACAAGAGCGATTGATGCCATCAAAAGAACTACTGAGGGGACCTTTACCGGAGACGCCCATTTGAAGCGATCCGTTCTGCATTGGCGAATTTAACCCAAGCGTTTTGAGCGGTGTCGTACGACATGCAGAGGGCAGTTGTGGAATGTTTGTCGAGGAGCCCATTGATGTCGAGCATGATAGACTTGTCCCCATCAAACTAGAAATTGCCGGTAGAAGAGGGGACCCTTTTTGAGAGTGCTGCAAAATAGAAGCTTTAACGACGTCCATTCCTAGCACCAACACAAGTTTCCCTAAAATGGAGAGGGCTGCCCGACGACACTCTGGAAGGCGATCTTGTAGCATGCTTGGAAGAAAGGATGCGAGGAAAAATTTGGATGTCGACCCGGCACCAACTAGGGCGTTGGCCATCTCTAGCGAATAAGCTGCTCCCCGATCATTTGTGGGAAGACTGGTTGCACCAACGTCCTCAAGACGGCCATCCGAATTGGATGTAGGAAGGTTGCTGTCCAACCAAAGCAGGATTTCCTTCTTCATTTGAGGATGGCCATCGACACGCCCCAGCACCTCGGAAATAAGAGCCGCAATATGGTTCTCCCCAGCAAAGGTGGCAACAGACGTTAGCGCAGCATGTGCCGCCACTCTATTAGGGCTTTTCAAGTCCGAAAGCGAGTTGATCAGCACAGGCAACACGTTGGATATGGTGCGGAAGCAGTTTGAAAAGTCCAGGTCAATCCGAGAAATCAGGCATCGGAACAGCTCGAGCGCCTGCACTGCGATGTTTTTATTCGAGTCCTCAAATCGTTTACTTAGCTGCTCAACAAGGTCTGCAAAGGAGACCGTCCCGGTAATCGAAAACTCGGGCAACTCCGAAATTTGCATCGAAATCGCATCCAAAGCTGCCTTCCTTTCTTTCCAAGCCGAAGAGCACAGTGTTGCCATCGTACACGGACTGATGAGTATTGCATGGGGCGCAGAAGAAGAAGAAGCAGAAACAGCTGTGCATAGCGCGGTGGGAAGTTCAACATCGGGTTGTGTCTGCGGAACGACATTTGCCGTAAATGGCATATTGTTGGCTGGTGCTGATGACCCTGGTGCGGGTGGATGAATGTCTCGAGAATCTCGCGAGCAAGGATGGGAACAACATGTAGACAGTTCGGGAGGCTTTGAAAGCCCCAGAGAAGCATAGCCCATAGGAGCCAGATTATGATGCGACAAGACAAGGCCTGCAAAGGAGAGCGCTGCATTTCTCAGTGCCGGTTGAGCCGAAGCCATGTGCGACGAAATCCATCCTTTCATCAGCTCAACGCAAGAGTGATCCAGAGGCGAAGCTTTAGAACACATGCGCGGAACAAGTAAAGAGCAAAGCGAAAAGGCGCCCATTGTTGCCTTTGGAAACGAAGAGGCCTTGCCCAGTGCGTTTATAAGCGAACACGTTAATATTTCTGCAGTCTTGCCGTTTCGCTCACTGCAAATGCGCTCGATGGTTAAAACCAATTTTGAAAATGGCGCAGATGCCTTCAAATCGCCGAGGCACTTCATGGCAATGGTAAGCAGAGAAGACAACGAGCGTTGGGCATCGACACAAAATTGGGAGGCCTGCGACTCGATCGATGCGATCGTGGCCTCAAGCATATTCAACTGCGCCAAGATTACCGCCACGACAGATTCGGATGAAATATTTGATGACGTAGCCATCACAAGGCTTTCAAGGGTAATTTGTTTTCCCTTGACAGCGGCACAAAGGGGATCAACCGACCGCTCCACCGTAGCCAACCGTTCCTTCCAATTGCTGCTGGGATTCAGCAACGTTGGCACAATTGCACCTATCATGTCTTTTGCCGTCGACTCGGACATAGTAGGCTCCGGAAGTGTGAGGCAGTTCTTATCGATGTCGTGAGCAGCCTTTTGGTTGGAAGCACCAATGGTCGATGGCTTCACAGAAGTATGAGAAGGCTTTGCTCCAATTTTGATAGGCTTTGCCTGGCTTGCAGACCGAGGAGCCGTTGCCATCTGCTTGGTCGGCTGGGTTGGCGTGCTCAGTGTTGAGCCTGAAGCGGTGGACAATAAATTGGGGGCGACGCCATTTTCGGATGAACAAGTGTCGTCTCTGGAAAATGCTTGTATTTTCGATATTTTGAGCTTGTCGCCAATGGTTTCCAACGCCTTTTGAAGGATAAGATTGTTGTTCCCGCATCGCAGTAATAATGCTCCAAAGACCTCGCACGCGATATCTCGGACCTCACCTGCACTATCGGCAGTGAGCGAGTGCAGCGGTGGGTCTGAGGACGACAGAAGCGCAGAAAGCTCGCCTTTGGTCGGCACAAGCCGATACTTTTTTAGTGACCATAGGAGCAATCGTAAAGACTCGATCTTTACAGTTGGCACCTAGAGTCCAATAAAATATCGCTGCTGATACCTTGTTTCCGAGCAGAGATGTGCCGGTCCCAATGCCAACAGCCTCAAGGATGCTTTGGAACGTTATGGGAGGAGCGCACCGCGATAGGATTGCCTGTGCCGCTGCCATCAAGCAATCGACGACGGAGCTTTTTTTCTCACGCGTGCGACCAAGCAAAGCGTGCAAAATAAGAACCGGATGCTTGCCGGCAGGGAAATTGGCTCTTGTTGCATGTGCAATCCGCTCAACACATCTGGCGGAGGAGAGCACCACGGCAATGTTCACATCTATAGATATCAGACGGCCAAGAGCACAGATGATTTCCTCCAAAAGCCTGCCACTGGCGAGCTTTAGCCTTGGAGAGGGGTTTAAAGCATCTCCAAGCGCATCCAAAAGCGCCTTTTTTTCCTTCCAAGCGGAAGCCAGCAGGGTTTCTGTTGTTGAATGAAAAAGAGCCGAGATTTCTACTTCCGGAGCTGATTCCCATATATCATACTCTATGGAATCCAAAGAGGACGGTTCGTCGTCACAAGCGTCGACACTAGGTTTTTCTTCCGCCGACACCGAGATGACGGGTGCACTTTTTTCACTAGCCAATCTCCTTTTGGGAGCAACAGGAGGCTAAAGATATCAAAAACCAAATAACCGACCATTTTGTCGATGTTGGAAAACTCTTCAGAAAGCTCTTTCAATTGTACGGGCTTCAGCGAACATAAATATGCACTTAGCGAGGGGCCCATCCATCTATAAAGCTCCTTTGCCAATATGAAGGACTAAGTTGAATGTTTGTGCAGGGAAATACCTCTGCTCTGACGCCCTTGTCTGTTTCTGAAAAGAGCCTCGAGAGGGAGCTCAAAAGGCCCTTACATTGCGCGTGTGTAGTGCCAAGCTCCTGAATGATGGAGGAGGCTGCAGAAATTGCACATGCAACCACCTTGGCATTTTTGTGCGTCAACAATTCTGAAAGCGCATCCTGAAATAAAATCCGACATCCAAAACTTACAAAGAGGACCGATGTCCCGTCTTTAACGGCAATTTCGACAAGCGATTCGAGCGATTGCGCCTTCGTGGATGTTCTTGATGAATTTAGCCCTTTCTCCACCAAAGGGCCGATCAAATCGCGACGGACAGACCTATGGAAGGGCATTAATTGCTTCAATAAATGACACGTGTGTAGGAGAGCTAAAAGTGGCATGCATACCTGAAAAAAGGATCTGAATTGGATGCTTTGATCCAAAAGATAAGCGGGGCCAGGCCTGCATCCAAGGCGGCAGCATTATAATCCATAGGAATCAGGTGCATTAAGTCTGCATATTTCCGCACAATTTCAATTGGCGAAGACGCGGAAGAGAGAGAAGATAGAATTTCAGCAAGCCGCCCGTAGCCGGATACACGTGCCTTCCAAACTTTGTCTCGAACAAGATCCTCTATGGCAAGCGCCGAATAATTTGGTTGAGATTCCTCCGTTACAGCTGGGGAGTTTGCCATCATTGGTCGGCAACAAATGCAGAATTGATTATAATTTCAGATTTTGGATGAAAATGGCGCCAAAAATTGGGTGCACAACTTGGGCCTTTATTTGAGCTTTGCTTTGAGCGATGTTGAGCTTTGCTTTAACCCTCTTTGAGCCATTTTGAGCTTTGCTTTAACCCTGTTTAGCCCTCTTTAACCCTCTTTGAGCCATTTTGAGCTTTGCTTTAACCCTGTTTAGCCCTGTTTAGCCCTGTTTAGCCCTGTTTAACCCTCTTTAACCCTCTTGGAGCCATTTTTAACCGTCTTGGAGCCATTTTTAACCCTCTTGGAGTTTTTATTTGAGCCAACTATGCCCTTTAACCTTCTCGCGGGGGCAAAAGACATAACATGCAGCAATGGTCAAGAAAAACACTATCCCAATGGCAACCAACATGCAGACAATAAAAGTGGAGCTATAGCTTGGCACTGGGGCTGAATGCACACCGACGCCGCTGGAAGATTCGAAGATGATATTTTTGAATTTGTAGCTCTTTACCAAGGAACCCTAAGTTAAAGATGTTGCCGCAACGTGTACGTACCTCCAAAATGCCGCCATCAATTTCGCCCATGATGTTTCCCAATAGCGATAGACTCGCATTGAAAAACGATTGCCCTCCCAGCTGCAAAATGTCGTACGCGATCGCGTGATCTTCAATGTATTTCAAAACCACCGTTCGCGGCAATGTTGCGGCATTTGTCTTGCCAAAGGCTTCGTCCAGATGGATCCCAAATTTTTGGTAATCAACGGCAGCAAAAAGAAAATTGCAGTACCTTGTGTCGCCATCGCTGCACATGATTTTAGAATCCTTTGCGAACGATTGGAGCGAATTGGAGACAGGCATGTTATCGGCCATGTTTCCATCTATCATGACCAGCACTATTTTTTCAACGTAATACTTGATCAGGGACTCTGTGAAGATAATTTGCGCAATGATCTGCGTGACCGCCACCGGTTGAGATCGGGGGCCAAATATACGCCCAAGGGCCCATTTGAAAGCAGCAGCAGTCACATTTTCCGCGGTAGCTGATGAAGACGGGCCCGTAGCGTTAAAAAAAGACGGGCCCGTAACGTTAAAAGAAGATGGACTTTCTTTCGATGAATGGAAAAACAAAATATCTCCAGTGCATGCAGAACCGGTTAAAAGCGACCCCTCCACTCGGAATACCGGAAATATTCGGTTGAAGAAATGTCGAAACAGCATAAAGAGCGAATCGAGAACGGCGGGCTTTGTCCCCTCTGCAACGCCATCCGTGTTGCTCGGAAATATGAAGAATGATTTTGACGAAATCTTTTGCTGCAAATTAAATTTGAAAGCCTCCAGAACCTCAGAGCTGGTCACAGACAGCGGCAGATATCTAAAATAAGCAAACCGCGCCAATAACCTGGTCTGGGAGATGGCAAGCGCAAAGAGAGCCTCTGCTGTTTTTTTGCCGCCAAGCGAACCCCAATCCTACAATGTAAAGAGGTGGAAAGCTACCGGCTTGCCAGCGATGTAGTATTTTACCGTTGGGAGGGTGTGAATATCCATCTCCCTGCAAAGCCTTTTACTCTGCACACAGTCAACACTGGCAGCAATCATTGGGATGTCGTGAACACGCAAAAGCTGGCAATAATGGGCCCATTCTTGCTCGAATTTCTGGCAATGCGTGCAGGATGGGGAGAAGAACTTTACCATCCAATTTGAGCCGTTACCTGTGGCCTACAATAAAACCTTGCTCAAGTTACGCCAATGAAAGTGCTCGGCACCAATGCTAACTCGCTCACGTTTGCACCTGAAGTGTTTGTACTCGCATGTAAAGGCTTCCTGGGACTGGGTTGTGGGGCATGGGCTTTGTCTGGAATGTTCCGCTGGGTCTCAACTCCGTTCTCAAACGTTAGCACGACAAAGTTTGTGTGGGGCGAGTCTTCCATCCAGTTTTGACACAAATACTTGGAGGACTCTGATGAGCAAACGACGAAAGCAATGTTGTCGCGCCTTGGCGCCGAAATTCCTAACGAACCTGATTGGAAGATGGAGACAAACCTTTTTTGATCCCGGGAAGCTGAGCAAAGATCCTGCTTCCACTTGCGTGCAAGTGGAATCCATCAGCTAAGAATGCAACGTGGCACTCTTGATGTGTGGAAATAAACTCGTTAAACGCAGCGGTCGAGGTGATGATTTGGATGTCTTGATGGGAGACATTTGAAGCAAATGCTGAAACAAGAAGGGCGAGTGTAAAAACGAAAGCCAACATTTGAAGGATCAATGGCGGTTAAATCTCCATTAAATCAAGCCTATTTTCAGAAATCTCGAGGCATCATTTTCGTATCAGCCAAATGTGAGCTAGGGTTAAGTGTATGGAAAGTTTTGGCGCAACCGTGGACGGTCCGTGGACGGTCCGTGGACAGTATTTGGCCCGCGGACAGTATTTGGTCCGCGGACCGGTACATTTTACGGCAATCGCAATGGAATCGATCACTACTACGACGAGAAGGGTGTCAATGAGCAATGTTTATTCATTGGATCATTCTAGCTTCACAGAAGAATACAAATACCGAATGAAGAACAAGGCAGCGAGCGTCCCAACGGCACCTATTTGCGAAAATAAGCCAACCAGATACACATACCCGAAACGATGGAAACCCCAAGCGAGAGCATAAAGCACCAGCAGAAATAGACCATTTTGGTCGAGGTGATTCCATGGTTGTACATGAAGTGTAAATGCTTCGCCGATGACAGCAGAAGCGTATACACACCGGTGGCACCGGCACTCAAAAATGAGTTCCACCACCAGCGGTAGTCCTAGATGTTTGTAAGATCAATGACAGACATACCTCCTTGCACAGCTGTATGTATGTCGAAATGATCGATACTTCGGCTACAGTCACGAAAAAGACGGTCGTCGCCAGCGAGACAAAAGCAAGGGTCGAATACGCTTGACGGATCCAGAATTCCAAATTCAGCAGCCTGACGACAAGCCAAAGGGCAGCAACTGGAAACAACCCAGAAATGATTGCCAAATACAGCGGCCTGAACACTTTGTATCCGGAGGGGCGAGGAATGGGCCGTGGAATCTCCATCGTGGGCACGGGAACATCAAGCTTTGGAGCCTTGACGCCAAAGTATGCCCCGATTCCGTGCAAAGGAACACAAAAGAGCGATAAAATAAATACAAAATAGAATGCAGAGCTGAGCGACACAAAAGACGACGACAAAAACAGAGAAAACAGCGTGAATATCATGCACACCGTCAAGGGGCAGAAAAGAACAGAGGAAATGAATAACTTGATGCTGGACCGGCCCCCGAGAAGCTTGAAAAACCTGGATGACACGTATCCCGACACGGAGGACAGAAACAGGTAGCCAATCAAAAACACATACGCCAAAGAATGGTCTTGTGTGGCCGAAGCAAGCCCAAAGAAAAGCAAAACTATGTCGGCATCAAAGGTGACGTGTCTTACCGAAAGCCAAGGCCAGTGTGGCGATGAAATGGACGCCCACGCCAACCAGCACGCTGAGCACAAGCGGGTTTGAGGGGCGCCTAAATACATCTCCATGCAGGGATTTCCAGCCATCCATGTCGGACATGAACGCCTCGTAGCGGGGCCGATTGTTGTACATTTCGATGTCCCCAGAAACCGTCTGATGGATAATAAAGAGCACAATCAGGGACAGAAGGATCACCACGGCAAAAGCAAAAAACACGCTACGGCGGATGAGCAACGTTGAAGCCAATACCTGATCCATACGGTCCACGTCGTGAAATGGTAGTCCTTTTCAAAAAGCTATCAAAAAAGCAACCGCAAAAATTACCACGCGCGTTTGCACATTGAACGTCATCTTTATGGGGACTCCGGAGCCATATGTATCTCCAAAATCAATGTCCTCTTGGAAGGAGGTCGTGGCGGTACTAAAAGCGGAAAATGAGTGCAACGCCAAACCTCTCTGGAAGCACAAAGGCATACAACAGCGTAAGGTACGAGTTTGGCTTGAAAATCCCCTTAATGGACCCCGTTTGTGGCGTCGATGTCTCCTCCAGCACAAAAATGAACGAAAAATGGTTGTAAAATTTTCCGCTCGTCTTATTGCCAATCGGGATGGAGTCATGCGACGATTCGCTCAAAGTCAGAGAGGTGAAAAAGTCGTCAAACGCCGACTCTTCTTCTAAAAGAAGTTCCCTGAACACTTGAAGCGAAGAGCTGACATCGATCACACGGATGTGATCGTTGACGAACCAGTTGTAAGCGTAGTTGTTTTGCATGCATTGGTTGATGAAGCGCGCCTGGGAAAGCATCAGCTCCCCTTCAACGAACACTTCGGCACGGCGGATGGCGGAAACTCTAGCATAGGCCGGATAATTCATCAAATTAAGCCTGGGAAACAACGAGGGGCTGTAAAACTTTTCTCCATTTTTATCACTTGACGATGCGATGGAGAGATTATGTGTCGGATAGAACCCCATTTTGTAATCGAACATCGAGATGGGGGGGAAGTTGGGATCTGAGGATGTCAAATTCTGCATTGTGATGGCAACATTGAAGGGGAAAATCCTTGACTCGGAATGGCTAGCAAAAAGGCAAAGCCAAGTGGCGACCAGAGCCAAGATGTAGTTTACAAGCAGATGCCCCATAACGCAATTAATCTGCGACGCATTTTTGTCATTAAGTTTTATAGTTTTAATTTTAATTTTCATTTTGATTTTAATTTTCATTTTAGTTTCATTTTAGCTTTCATTTTAATTGTAGTTTCCGTCAAATTTGAATTTTGGAGAGCATCTCATCCAGGGCATGAAGCTTGTGTCTAATCAACTCGGTTCGGTTGCGAAATCTACAAATGGCCATTAAAGTTTCCAAAAAGGTACCTTTCGGACAGCCCTAGTTCGTCAAATAAAATATGAAGAGGAACGTCGCGCTGTTCCTTGACATGTAGAGACGTGATTTTTTGATGTAAAAGCCCGCTCAGCCGGCAAAGCTTGCTTTCCAGCTCTTCGTATTTTGCCTGATATTGCACTATGAAATCCCTTGAGAGGCTTTGCGATGCATTGAGGAATCTGTCTTTACTATCCACATTGTCGGTTAATGAGAGCGCCACAATGGAGTCCATTCTCTTTTTCAGTTCGAATAATCCCGAACAGATCGATGTGATCCTGTCTCTCAAGTTCAGGGCGCCTTTCTTTGTGCAAATGGAATCCAAAATCAGCGATTGCCGCTCGTATTCTTGCTTCACAATTGTGCTCCGGTTGTGGAGTGTTTCTCCAACGTCCACTAGCAATGGAAAGACATCTGCTCTCCAGAACTTGAATATCTCCAGCAAGGATTGGACCGAGCTCTTTTGCTCCAGCATGTTCGCCAAAAGCCTCGCCTGTTGCTCCACTGAATGTTCAATCTTTCTCACCATTTCCCTGGCCGTTTGGGCAAATGGGAAACTCTCCAACGGAGACTTGAACGAAGCAATATGAAGCAGCGATTTCCAACAAGGTAGTTTTGACGAAAGAGAACAAAGCGGAAGGGACGTTTTTAAATGCGGATCTAACTGTAACAGCTCAAAAGAGGGCCCTCCTTTGATTAGAAACTCGATCGGCTCAGTATGCCGCAGCAGCCTACTTGGCGGAATAAATGTCCAGTTTGATTTTTCATCTAGCCACGGTGGAGAATTCCACGAAACGACCTTGCGAAGCAAATCGGGCCCGCATAAATTGACAGAATAAATGGAGTCTTTTAGCAACAAGAACAAAAAGGGTCCCCAAGCAAATTGACAGCTAAAAGCGGACACCGGCAATGAAACGGAGGGCCATGATGACGATGACGATGACGATGACGATGACGATGAAGAGGAACAACAAGAAGAAGAAGAAGGCAATGTGGATTTTATGTCCACTTTCTTTAGCAGGGTCCATTTCTAAAATGAGCAGCATCTGCATACCGATTGGATGTCAACGGTCAAAGGCGACCTTCTCAACAATCCGTAAATGAAAAGCTGTTTTTCCGCGTCAAGGATGCTGCAGCCGATAATTTTCAATTCGTCGCCGTCTGAAATGGACGTTGGGAAAAACCGGATATCGACAATAGAAGATGTCTGCTGCAAGCGGATCGTTTCGCAATTCAAAGAGGAGGCATAGTTTTCAATACTTTCTGAGGTTGGGTATATGCGCTGAATCGACCCGCCGTTCCTGCAAATGAAAACAGAGGCAAAAAGGCTGGGATCTCCGTTGCCGGCAAGATGGGACAGGCCAGCGTCTCCCTCCTCGTGCAGTGATTCAACCAAAGGGGGAAGAAGCAACTTCTGGGGCTCGTCATCCCACAGGGTAATTCCAGCCGTGCAACGAAAGTTCGCACAAGTGACTGCACACGTGGAATCATCGATGTCGTCAGGATGAGGAATCAAAATTTCCAATTTCTCTTCGCTGCTGGCATCAAAGATTCTAAAGGCGATAATAGGGACAACCAACGATACCTCAAGTAGCTGTCCTTGCACAGGATTAAAAGCAAAGAGCCCGTTTTTGATTGAATGTCCCATGCGATGTCAGAAATAACGGGCCTAGAAATGGGAACCTTGGCCGTGTTTTCATGAAGGGCTGTTTTTTCTCCGATCAGCAAATAAATGATAAAGAGCCCATCGGTGGAAAGCACCGCAATAAATAGCTTGAATCGCTCCTCCAAAACAGCCTTATGGATTGTTGTACCGCTTATTTGGATGGAAAGTGTAAATTTGCGGAGAATCTTTTCCGACGGCAAGGGGGGGCTGATTCTTGCCGCCATCAGGTCGACCATTACCAGGCAGTCTCTTGATATGATGTACAGATAATCGCCGGTGTGCGAGCAAATGCAGAAGCTAAACGAGGGATCGCACCCAAGATTTTCGTTGCATAACTTTGAAACTCTGGTGGACCATTGAAGCCGCCTGTAAATATTGATGCCACAGGCCATGAAATGTTAAAAATTTTATGCTCAACATTCAGTTTGAGGTGTCCGACCCCATGTTGCTGCAGAGTATTTTGGATTCCCTTATCGGAAATAGAGTGCACGCACTCGCTGCTTCGAGCGCTTGCGCCTTCTGCCTGCCACATTGTGCTTGAGTTTGCGATCTGCAGCCAGCAATTCAGAGCAAGCATCGAGGGGCAGGGCAAATTTTTCACCCCGGCAACAACCGGCAGCAACCAAAAGCACAGCCACAACCACAACCCCAACCCCAACCCCAACCCCAACCCCAACCCCAACCCCAACACGCTCCACTATGCGTCGGACGGGTCGTTTTCGTTTTCATATTTCCAGTGGCCAATTGTAGCGTCTTTGCGTCTGTTTTACCACTAGGATTCGTGCTTTGGGCCCATTTTGTTCTCCGGCATCGATGGCGAGGCGCCCTCGTTTTTTTCGCTCAAGATGGAATTTCAGCTGTTTTTCAAATACATTTGCTCATTCGTGAGTAGCCCTTTTGTGTTTTCCATCACCGGAAAGCTCTCCCCTGATGGGCACAAATTGCTTGCTTGCTCAAGTTCAGAAACGTTAACGGCGGCAATCAGTGCAATTAAAACAAATTCCTCCTCCGGTACGACGTTCACGCTTTCGCAGGCGATTCCGATCGCCAGTACGACGGTGCTGTTCGACCAAAGGAGCATCTATTGTTTTGCTCCCCCTTTTGAGCACGAATCATGGATAGCTGTCCAGCTGTCAAGCCCTATGCAACGGAGCCTGTTCGCATTTTGTTCAAAGATATGCTCCCTTTCTAAATGCACCGCATCAAAGAAAAGTATTATAACTCTTTCGTTGACGAAGGAAGACACTGGCGGCTTTCTTATGGAGTCTCGCCATCAAAATCACGATTCTCAGATCGAATGCAAGCTAGAATACTTGGTGGCCCTTTCTGCCCCATCCAATGGCTTCTCAAACGTTTACACCAGCTTTTACGCGAAGGATCTTGCCAGGCTGTTTAGTTCGGCCATTCTGGCCTCATCTGGCGTCCAATTATGTATGTTGCGACTCTTATATTTCATTATTTGTTTAGGCTTTCTAAGGGATTCCAGGGCAATTCAAATCAATCTTCAGCTGCCTCCAGCAAAGATTTCCCATATTCTCTCTGCCATCCTTCCCGCTGCAGCGGAAAGCTGAATTTTGGCTCTTTTCCATCCCAAAGATCGCAAGTGCGGGCTGCCCCGCCAAAGTACACAAAAGTATCGCTCAAAGGGGGGGTCTATGGGGTCAATAAAATGGCAATGCGTTGCATGTAAAGTTGGCTTTATTGAAATTTTGCAAATAAAGCCGACCAAACCGTGCATTTGGCGTTAAAGGTCTGCATTTCATTTCAATTGAATTCATTTCATTTGAATTGGCAAAATTTATCAATGGATCAAGTTGCACCTGCCGCCGCGTGTCCTGCTAAATACGATCCGACACAAGTGGGCTATTTAAGAGAGCCCTGTATTCTGGTAGACGACGATGACAAGATTTTGGGCCCCATTTCGAAGCACGATGCGCACTGGAAACAAGGCTCGCTTCATCGCGCCTTTTCGGTTTTTCTTTTCAATGAAAGGGACGAGCTTTTGCTCCAGCAGCGCTCATCATTCAAGATTACATTTCCGCTGCTGAAGACAAACTCATGCTGCAGCCATCCGCAATATGTTCCAAACGAAATGGACCACCCCGTACAGGGCACCAAAGTCGCTGCAATGAGGAAGCTCAAGCACGAGCTGGGCCTCGACCCGTCGACGGTTCGTGCCTCTGGGTTGTAATTTTTAGTATTCCCTGGACGATCTAAGGCTATTTCACAAAATCAAATATTCTGCTCCATCATGTGCCCTGTGGTCAGAAAACGAACGTACCTGCACATCTTTTAATGTCGCTAGTTGATTATGTGTTTCTTTTGACGCTGACCGATCCTCAATTGTCGGTAAATCCAAATGAAGTTGCCCATGTACAATGGGTCACCCCCTCCCAACTAAACCGCATGTTTGCGCACGATCCTGCTCAATTTACACCCTGGTTCAGGCTGATGGTCGAAAGCGGCCTGCTGGACAAATGGTGGCTCAGCCACCGCTGCAAGGGAGAGCCAGCGCCCGATGAGATTTGCATCCAAGCATTCGATAATGCATTAGAAATAAAGCCCCAACGCTGAGAAAGTACACGCATGCGCAGCGCCGACAATTTCTTTTTTGCTTGCCAAAACCATGGTGAGGCGTCATAAATTTATTATCTTTTCAACTCGTCGAATTTGCGGCCCTTTCCGCGCGTGTATGGAACAGCAGGATTGGTCTTGGAGCCAGGAATACCAAAGTGCTTGACGGCCTTTCGTGACTTTTTCACTCCACGCAGAAGAACGGTGTTTGATCCCTTTGGAGCTCTAAGGGCAAGTTGATCGAGGGTCAGAGTCTCGCCTCCAGCAGCAAGGATGCGAGCCTTTGCATTTTTTGAGAACTTGAGCGCAGCAACGATCATTTTGGGAACGCTTTGCAGTCTTTCGTCATCTACAACCTTGCCAACGATAACGGCAACAGGGGCATCCGCCGTTTTGCTCTTCAGCTGCGAATAAATATTTGACAGCGAGACAACGGGGCGATTGACCTTGCTCATGAAGAGACGCTTTAAAACGACCTTGTTGAAGTTTGAGTCTGTGCGACGGGCAAGAAAGCGGTACACTTTGACCAACAGTTTGAGATACACATCCTCTGAAGCAGGCGCGTTTCTGTTGCCGGACTTTACGTGATGACGCTTCAGATCGATACCCTACAAAGTTACAAAATTGCAAATAAGAAAGGAAACGCAAAGAGAGCATGAAAGATCCAGTAATGCACCGAAAATAGACCGATGAATAACGATCAAGCAATGGACATGAACGTTGACATACCATTAGTACTGTGAAAGAATTAAATTTAGAAATAAATTTTATAAAATTTATTGAAATGCCAACTAAAGGGCCTTGGTGATTCGATTTCCCATCAAATAGGCAAGCCCATTGCTTTTGCAGCGGATTCTAATATGGCCCGCAATGGAAGAATCCTTCTGACGCTCCAGACTTACGTTTGCAAGGATATCGTCATCTAAACGATTAGCTCGAGCGCTTCAAACGTACCAAATTTGCTTCTAGCATACAGATTGGCCGAGAAAACAAGGCTTTGGTCATAAAGAGCAATGTTGTCCCCTTTTTTTGGATAAATACACTTAAAACCGGTCAATTGAGCCAAGCGAGAAATGATGGCCGAAAATGTTCTAAGGCGAATAAAAGGAGCTGCTTACGAATAGCAAGGCTTAAGGGTAACCTTGTTCTCCCATTCTAAGACCTTCCAGCTTGAGGCAAACTACGAGAAAGAAAAATGTACCCTTTTCAAAATACCTCCTCATCAGAAATGTTCGGGTTGGGGGTGATCAGGTGCAGAATATCGACGGAAATGGGGTTGAAAGCAATATACGACACCGAAAGAAAAGGATGGTGGTCAAACGAGAGGTATCCATAGATGCTCCCAAGTTCGGCATTGTGTATCTATGCCGACGTTAATAGACACGGCGCACCTTGATTGAGGCCTTGACATTAGTAAATCCAAACGCCGGAAGTGATGGCTGGAGCGGCTTCAACAATAGCCTTTGGCTGCTACTTGACGAGCCAGAACTACCGCATCCGTAATCCGAAATGAACTCCAAGCAAATTGACTGGATCGTCTCAGGGGTTTGGTTGACGATCAGAATGTCCAGCATAACATCGAGCTCTGAAAAGCTAACATATGCCTCTGCATATATGGGGTCCGAAAAGCCTATAAACGATCGGCAGATAAAACGGACCTGTAAATTGGAATACGCTGTCAAGCTTCGTAATGCGATGAGACTCCTGCATGCTTAAAGCTTCAGAATTGAACAGCTTGGCCAGCTCCGCCTCCTGGATGTTCTTTTTGTTGCCATGCAAAGACAAGCGCGAGCTGGATGAGGCGGAATTTTCAACTTTCAGCAGCATCGACGAAGGGATGTTGGCAAACTCGAAACAATTCTCTTTGACCTTCTACAATAACGTTGGTTAAATAAGCAAACCTTTGCTTCAGTGGCTGGTGAGGTAAAGGATGACGGCCGCACAGAATATTCCTTGGAGCCGGTGAATATGGACGATAATAAGGTAGCGGCACCATCATCGCCAGAAGATCCAGACAAAAATTTCAGACACATAGAGAGCCTATCCAATGCATCGAAATTGATTCTGAGCTCGGTCGATGGAAAAAAAAGAGACTGGTTGGAAAGGACATTTTTCAATATCTTCAGCATATCAATGACGATCAGAATGGCCCGGGCTTGAAGCACCTCGGTGTCACATGCCTTCGCCTTTGCGAGCAATTTTAGCGTTGAAAAGGCAATGGCGGCGCAAGAACCTAGACACCCATTTTCGAGGAAAACCTGCAACTTCCAGCTGTTGGCTTTGAATGTTTCAAAGACTTTCGATGAGAGAAGATCGTTGTCACCCTCTTTAATATCCACAAGTATTGATGAGATCAGCTCTGATAATTCGTCGAGATACGAGGAAAGCCCCTTGAAAATGGCGTCAATCTCGGCGCTAGTGCCTATGATGGGCGGTAAAAAAATTGCAAAGTACCATATTCTCCAACCAGCCACATCATGGCCTTGAAGCATTTTGCAGACTTTATCTGGGGCATGACAGAAAGTATTTCAGGGATCAGTATGCCATTCAAGGCCGGATATTTCATCAAGGCGATTCTGAAAATAAAACAAGTGACGATACTTGAAAAACTCGACGCACTCCAAAGGGTAGCTATTAAGTTGAGTTGAGCATGCTCCCGCGGACGGGCTTGGTCCAAGTCTATCTACCACCAAACGGCTAAAAATGGGGATCGCCTTGCTCACAATTGATTGCGAGTAAAGAGCACACTTTGAAAGTGAAGAAACCAAGACCTTCAAATCATCACTTGAAGCCGAAGATGGCGCAAGCGAAAGCTGCAATATTTCCTGGCCCAAATAGTCTGAAAGGGTTGTTGCAGTCGACTCTGTGCAGTGGTCAAGCACCAAAAACAGCGACTTTCTTTTAATTTCAATATCAGAACTAATGCGCGTAAGCGAGCAAGCAAATACCTCGAAAACACTTTCCACAAATCTAAAAGCTGGCTATCCAGCGTATTGCTTGCCACGGAAAGAACGTACGAAAGCTTTCCCAAAATAATTAGCTTGATGTTATTATCGGATTCTTTTAGGATCAAATCAATTATGGTTGGAAACACCCTCTGTGCCGTCATCGTCTGATTGGGGAAAGCAAGCCTCAAATAGACATCGCAGGCGGCAAACTTTATCGTCGGAGTTACGGTCGGAGACTCGAGCACCAAAATGAGACATTCCGAAAATATGACCTAGCCATAAAAAAGCTCAAAAACCTTTTCTTCCTTCGAGTAATTATCGAGCGGTTTCAAATTTACAAAGTGGATCACAGCAAGCTGCATGTATTCATCAATAGATTCAAATGTGGGCAAGAGAAAGTTGAGCAGCTCAAAAGAAGCGCCCCAGTCTAGTTTGCTCAAACACATGAAAGAAATCCGCTTGCATTGACGATCAGACTCCTATAGTGGGACCAGCAAAGAATCATACATTAAAAAAGGCCTCCCTCAGCAATGCTGTAGAGTCTGGAAATAAAGTTTCCAAATTGAGTGAAATGGAAGCTATTGCGACAAGTGCATTTCTCCTGACGTATGGATGCGGGTGCGACTAGCATGTAAATGCAATTGAAGACGTACCAGGTTCGAACGAATGGATTGAAGAAGAGGCTCCAATATTTCTTGCTCCTTGATCTTTGCAACAAACCTCAAAGTAAAGCCACGAACGAATTCATTGGGATGTTGCAGATCATTTCTCAATGCGTTACAGACCAGTATCATTTCTTGAAGCAGTTTTCCGTCGGCCCCCAGTTTTGGGCATAACTCAAAATATAGTAACAGCAGCTTCTTAATTTGCTTGTTTTTCTGAGAAGGAAGAACAAATCTGATAATGTGCATGAGGACTTCTGAGCTGATTGAGGCACTGGAGGATTCATTGGCTAAAACGTAAATTATATCTTGTAGAGCTTTGATTTTTTCGGTCTCACTGCCCCGTTCAAGAAAATACTTGAGCTCCTGAACGCTATGCGGCGATTCTATCAAAAGATCAGTCGGAAGATAAAGCAAACAATCGCCAATAGAGGTCATCACAGATGGGTAGGTAGGTAGGTAGGTAGTGATAACTAATAATAATAGTGCAATTAAATTGTAAATCAAGGCCTCAAAATAATGTAAAAATTCGACACCTGCAGGATTTGAACCTACGCGGACGAAGCCCATATGATTTCTAGTCATACTCCTTAACCACTCGGACAAGGTGTCTGGAAAAACTGACTTAATAAAATTTTTTATACCTATTAAAAAAGTAAATCCGTTGCAATTTTCAATTAGATTGCGTTGGCACTTTCAATGAGATCTCTGTTTATTCGACACGTTAAAACTCCGGTTCGTCGGTTTTCTAGCTCAATCCAAGGCAATAAGTAGAATGAATATTTTTAGAGTACGATTTGGCCATAATTGGGGCCGGTCCTGGTGGCTATGTTTCCGCAATAAGGGCTGCACAAAATGGCCTCAAAGTAAGGCCTGTTTTTCAATCCTAAAAGGTCGTTTGCGTCGAAAAGAGAGCCACTCTAGGTGGAACATGCCTAAACATAGGATGCATCCCTTCAAAGGCTTTGTTGAACAACTCGCATTTATTTGAAATGGCATCCAAGGATTTTAAATCTCGCGGAATCGATCTCTCTTCCCCGCCTCAACTCAATTTAGCGAACATGCTCGAGTACAAAGATAAAGCGGTCAGCCAACTCACTAAAGGAATTGAATTTCTATTCAAGAAAAACAAGGTGCCCTAACCTGAATTTTTACTTTAGGTCGATTGGATCAAGGGAACCGGGACGTTTGTCGATCAAAACTGCATCTCCATTAAAGACCCAAATACGGGAGCAGATGTTAATCTCATCAAAGCGAAAAATATTGTAATAGCGACCGGATCTACCTCAATGGAATTCCCAGGTGTCAAGGTAGCATGTGTGGTCTTTCCGTTAGATTGATGAAAAGAAAATCCTTTCATCTACAGGTGCGCTTTCGTTGAAAGAGGTCCCTAAAAAAATGACCGTTATTGGGGGCGGCATAATTGGGCTGGAATTGGGCTCCGTCTGGTCACGACTTGGCTCTCAAGTTACAGTTGTAGAATTTCTAGACTCTATTGGAGCAGGGATGGATCGCTCGGTTTCTTCGGCATTCCAAAAGATTCTTGCAAAGCAAGAGATCAGCTTTAAACTTGGGACAAAAGTCACGGAAGTTGTCACACGATCTGACTCGTCTGTTTCGGTCAAAATTCAGCCCTCTTCGGGCGGTGCGCACGAAGAGCTCGTCTGCGACACCGTTCTTGTGTCCGTGGGACGTCGCCCATATACTGAAGGATTGGGGCTGTCTTCCATCAAGCTGGACAACAAAGGTAGAATTGTCACTGACGGGCATTTTAGGACCTCGGTCCCTAATATCTACGCCATCGGCGACGTTGTTGCCGGACCTATGCTTGCACATAAAGCTGAAGAAGAAGGTATTTATGTTGCAGATTTGATATCTGGAAAGCTTGCAAAAAGAGAAGCCAATCCTCATCGGATTGTCATTCCAAGCGTCGTCTATACACATCCAGAAGTTGCCTGGGCTGGTTATACTGAAGAACAGTTGAAAGCTTCCAACGGCAAATATCATGTTGGAACTTTTCCATTCCTTGCTAATTCTCGTGCAAAGGTCAATAATGATTTTGAGGGTTCCATCAAGGTGATTGCATCTCCTGAAGGCCTAATGTTGGGCTGCCATATTATCGGTCCAAATGCTGGTGAAATGATCAGCGAGGCTGTTATGGCGATGCAAAATTCGATCTCTATTTTTCAAATAGCGAATACATGCCATGCCCATCCTACGCTTTCAGAGGCGTTTAAAGAGGCCTGTTTGACGCTGTCCCAACCCACAATGAAGGCCATACATTTCTAACTGTTTAATAAATTGGCATTTTTATTAGCAGTATTTGAAAACATCTACTATGGCGATGGTGACGGTGCTGACGGTGGTGACGGTGGTGACGGTGGTGACGGTGGTGACGATTGTGCCGATTGTGCCGATGGTGACGGCGCTGAAGATGATGTCATAGACTTTTTTAAAAAGGTTTCGGATGCCTCTTGTAAGGACGATTTGGAAATCTGCAATGCCCCAAGTTTCTGTTCAATTTCTTTGATAGAACCTTGAGAGCAGTTGATAATTGTAGTTAAGCGGTCAACTACGTCACCCAAAGATTTTCGTTTGATAAACGTCTTTCCAACGGAAGAAAATACAGCAGCCGGCGGCTTATCAGATTGAGATAGCCTTTCCAATTCACTGATCGTCAATGATGCAATTTTGGCTTGAGAGGCATGCGATCTAAGGGAACGGCCAATAGAATTCATCTCCCGATCGATACATTTTAGCTTGTGGGACAGGGATGAATATTCCTATAAAAGTATAACAAAGGAAATCGGTGTACTTGAGCATCTTGTTTAGTTTTAAAGGAGATCATTAAAAATTAAAAAGCCAAATCGGTGATAGCCATGCTGCAACGTAACCCGGAACCCTCCAAAAGTTGCGTAGAGAATGTATGCTATTTTCAAACCAACCGATTTATTTAAGCCCTTGATGGTTCAGGCCAAAAACGAGACACTAACTATGTACTTCTGAAAAGGATTGATCGATCCAGTATCCCAGCCAACCTATCACGAAACAAAGGCTCCGCTATTTGTGCCATTTTTTCTGCAATTCAATCCGGCATCAACTTGGCTCTTTCAGCATGCACAAAATCTTTAAACTAATCGTTGAATTTTTGAAATGCTTCAAAGAACCCCTACCCTATAAGGCAGATTTTATCGCTTACGGATTAGCTCTGCTGGGGGTTATCTAAAAAAGATTCAAAACTCAATTAAATGTCCTTAGTACGCTTTTGAAAACGGTTTTGGAAAAGCAAACTTAACTCTATCCATTCTTCTTAGAGTACGGGCTTTATCTTATTATAGCTTTTATTTACGAAAGATGCAGATTATGGCAAACGAGTCTCCAAAACATTCAATTGTGTAAATCCCAAATGGAATTAGATTACTTCTGGACAAATAAACATATTTATAGCCCCACTGTTTTCTCAATGTGGTGTTTCCATACTGAACTGATCTTAAACCATACCGTTATGACAAAAAAACATTTAAAATTCTGCCCCATCAATTTGTTAATAAATTATTGGTTTCCTCTCCATTCGTCCCATAGTCCGTACAATGCCAGAAGCATCTCATTAGACAATTCTATCTCTTGATCTAATACGAGGTCATCTAAGCGAAATCTAATGAACGCTCCGTTGAGGATATCGGCATGAGTTAAAAGTCGCGAGTAGCAAAGATTTGTGTTAAAGAATTTGGCACAAAATGGCCTCGTCAGACGATTCGGGATTTTTACCCAGGTAGATAAACACAGATTAGGATCCTTTTTGCGACGTATGTACAAATCACCGATGTAGAGAGCATCGCTCGCATTATAGGGACAAATTCTTCGAAGAACGAAGAATCTCATTTCAAAAGTAGTAGTAGACGGGCGAATATAGATCCCAATAGAGTAGATAGTATCTGAGACGTATCTAGTCAGAAAGTGGCAGCATTCGTAGAAAAGCACATGGAATGGCTCGTGTGTAAAGGCGATCTCAAATACAACTTCGGGGTTCTTATCGACAATTGATGTGGGATCAAATTGTAGATAGATCCCACCATCAAAGTATTTTTCCT